CGGTGCTTTCCCCGCAGCATTTCGCCCACCTCACCGGGGCGAACCACTCCATCACTGGCAATCTCCAGCATTTCGCCATTGAGATGCCTGTGCTGCAAAGGCTGAAAGTGTTAAGGTTCCTGTCCGTGTGAACATGGACTTCTTTGAAATTGAAGGTCTTGCACAATCTCAAGCATGAATTTTCAGGTTGACCCCTGCCAAAGTCCAGCTGCAGCACGAATTTCGAATAGGATGCCTCAAGTTGGTTCCACGCATAAGCAGCTAACTCAGCAAAGCCCTCTCTTTTTCTCGCGCAGTGGGCTCTGTGGTGCATGGCACGCTGAGCCAAAATGGGCCGAGCTGGGGATGGTCAAACAATCTCTCTGAAGAATAGTTTCGCCATGTGGAAATTCCTATCTTTCTAATTCTTTCTACAGCAGTATGTGGTCCGTAGCACATTGGTAGCATCACCAGGCCGGGAAATGATGAATGTCGAGTAAGAAGCATTGGCCAAAACCACTCAACGAAAAAATGTCGAAGATCACGCGGCATTTCATTGGCCATACACTTGCAGCAAAGACAAGGACTTTCATAGGCGAGCTTTAGTAACATCACTGGAACATGCATTCTTCACAGCAGGGTATCCTCTGATTTGCTTTCGTTTCCTTCGGTTTCCTTTGGTTAACTTCGGTTTCCTTTGGTTTCCATTGATTTTCGTTGATTTTCTTTGGTTTCGGGCTGGGTGGATTCTATAGTTTTCCTTTGGTTTCCTTTGGTTTCCTTTGATTTTCTTTGGTTTGGGGCTGGTTGGACTCTATGGTTTTACTTTGATTTCCTTTGGTTTCCTTCGGTTTCCTTTGATTTCCTTTGGTTTCCTTTGATTTTCTGTGATTTTCTTTGGTTTGGGGCTGTGTGGATTCTATGGTTTTCCTTTGGTTTCCTTTGATTTCCTCTGGTTTTGTTTGGTTTCCAAGGGAGAAACAAAGGAAAAGAAAATCCAAGGAAAAGACACACCAATCAAGGAAAGTCCAAGGAGGCTATAAGCCCATAGAATGCATCAATCATGCCTGCTACTAAGACTTTCCTTAGATCACACATCTTAGGACCACAAGGACCATGCAGAATAGATACTTGCGTAAGCGCCGTATCCACGCTCAAAATAATGGTTGCAGATGGACATGTGCATGTATAATTTGAGTCAAGCCTAAATAGCTGCAACAGCGAGCACGCTCTAGACCACGATTTTTGGCACGCAGAAGAGCACCAAAAAGCATGATGTTTTGCACGAGGGAAAGCACCAAAAAGCATGATTTTGTGCAAAACATTATAATATATCTATAATTATATATATATAGGCTCAAGGCTGGGGGTTCCCCGGAGCTTCCAGGAACCCTCAGTCTTGAGCCTATACTACAAACGTCGTTATGGTATAGAAATGGGGGGTGGGGGGGGGTAATACGTCAGTTGCAATTGAAGTGTGGAAACCTTGAGGATTTTGCTTCGTTGAAGATGTTGTTCGTTGGCAAGATCGTTGTTAATACATAAGGGGGGTGGGGGGGTGGGGGGGTGTAATAACGTCATGTGGAGCGCGTTGCATTGAGAGTTGTGGAAACCTTGAGGATGTTGCTTCGTTGAAGATGTTGTTACGTTGCAAGTATCGTTGTTAATACAGAAGGGGGGTGGGGGGGGTGTAATAACGTTATGTGGAGTGCGTTGGATTCAGAGTTGTGGAAACCTTGAGGATGTTGCTGCGTTGACGATTTGTTACGTTGTAAGTATCGTTGTTGCTCTCGCTCCAAGCAGCTGCTTCAAAAAGCCCTTGTGGACGTGAAGATGAAAAAGGTGTGATGTTCATTTCGTCCATGGTTCTCCAGTGAATTATGACATTTTCTAGTTATCAACAAGACGACCAAAAATGCATGGAACCGCAATTCCAATGGTTAGAATGTTGCACACATTTTTGGCCATCCATGGAAGATGTAAATTTATCATTTTCTGCGCGGACAAACGTCAAGTTTATCCGCGCCGACATTGAAACTTTGGCTGATCGAACACTTTCAGAGAAAAGCATAAAACACTGTAAAACACAGTGTAAAATCAACATTTTCCATATCCATACAAATAAAACGCAATTGGCTTCCGGGGAACCCCCGGCCCAGCCTTCGCCCTATATATATATATATACACAACATATATAAATATATACACAACATATATATATATAATTATATATACACACACATACATACATACATACATACCTAATTCCACACATCGTGTTTAAAGACGCACTGCGTACCGGTGTCCCGTCCTAAAGGGCCGCTCCCAGCTCATGGGTTCAACATCCAATGTACAAGATCCAATGCAACCTTTAAAACTGCGTTTGCAATTTCGGAAGCGCATGCGATTTCGCAGCTGCCTTGGTGTTGCAGGGCTAGTCCTACTTCAAAAAGTGAGCAGAGAGCAGGAGGCTGCACCTCCACTGTTTCAAGTTGCAACAGCAGTGGAATATCTGAAGCCTCCATTTCAATAGGGTCAAGGGCATTGGCACCAACTCATATTAACTGGCCAACATTCGTCTTGGTAGAGGCATATTCCCTCACCCTGTTGAAGGTGTCATGCCCTACTTAGGCCCTACTTGAATAGAGGTCCTCCAGCCATTTCTGATTTCACGCCCTCAACATCAACACAAAGCCCAAAGATGGGCCAAGAGAAAATCAGTTCAAAGTTTTGTAGTCCATCGGGTGTAAATTGTAAATTGTCTTGGGGGGGTGAAAGGCAGTGGATCACCTGGGAGATATAATATGGAGATATGCCAACGGTTGAAACCATTGCATGCCATGGCTAGGTCAGTTGTCCGGACCCACCTCGATACCTGATGTTGCTTTTGATTCGAGTAATGTTAAGGCAGAATTAATTAACGTTCAGTTCATGAATGGGGGGTATCCATTTCAATAGTAATTCGTCATAATTTGTCAATATTTTGGGGTCAGGGTTTATTGGTTCGGGCTTGACATTATCTTAATTTAAAGCTAATTGGATCAACTCATCCCACCCCTCAATTCGTACAGGATGCAGCCATTGGATTTACAGCCGGTGCCTCCACTCTGCTCTCAGCTCAATGTTCTCCGCGCGCAGTCAGAGTTGCCAGGCCCAGTGAGGCTGCAGTCGGCTTGATCTACGAGAATAGGGATGGAATGATGCTTTCCATCCAGATCGGGTGCCCAGGATACCCCGGGAGTCAGTACAACGAGTTACTTGCATTGACAATTGCCCTTGTAATCAATCAGAAATCAAGGGATCTGCCACCATTCTGCGGCAGCCTCCCAGTTTTTGCAATCACCTGATCAACATGGAATGCCCCCCGTTGGAGTATCCGTGGGTTCATGGGTTTAGCATACTTCAACATCCCTTAGGAGTGGGCTGGTTGAGTGTGGATTCTTGCTTAGCCAGGCCCAACCCTCAGGGCAGTAACTTCCTGATCTAAGGTCATCTGCTCCCAGCAACTCTTCATGCGATTCTGCCCAGCAAACCTTTGGGTGGGCGATAGTGTCCTGGCGGGCAGAGAGGTCAACCAGGAGCACTATTGACGCAGGAATCCACCCTTTGGAAGATTACAATCAGTGTGCTTCCTTTATCCTGATGAATCTGGTATGTGCTCATCATACAGTACATCGTCCCAACTGGCGGCTTGAGGACCCGGAAATGGATTTTGATTTTGAAAACCATCTCCCTTCTGATCCGCCTACAACACCCCGAGGCGGCAGCATTAAACCCGGCTGTGGAATTGTGCAGAATCTGTTGTGTGAGTTATATACCTTGTATATCCTAGTATGACCTTCGCTTGTTCTGGGGCGTTCACATTGTCCAAATTCTCTGAAACAATGCCTGGATTGTCTGATCTTTTGCTTCCCCCGAGGTCATTCCAGTTCCACGGTCGTCTCCTGGACGGTGAAACACCACGTACCTGGCAGGGACAGGTCGCTCAAAAAATTGCGACACTGGGAGAAGAACCAGGCACTTTCATGGGCGTTCAGCAAATCAAATATCATTGCGCGGGTGGTTCTTGGTCCAAGGTGAGCCAGTATCCAGTGACAAAAAAGAGCGTCAGACTTTATTCTGCGGATCTTCTGCGGATGTGAGTAGCTTTCCAAGTCCAACTCTGCATTGTCTGGTGCACCAACATGGCTATGGCTTGCAGCAACGAAATATGTTCCTGCTCAAGGATGGTGTTTTCTTCCGCTGGTTGGTGGCCCCAAAAAGGCTAAAGGCTGGGGTTTAAGCATTCCAAGTACAAATCAAAAATCCGATGTTTTGTCGGTTCAATATGCATTGGGCTACTGGTCCAGATAAAACACCAGCAAATTGTATAGATTATATTCTCAGCATAGTATGCTACGTTTGTTCTTGGGATTGCAACTAAACTACCAGGGTTTGACACCCACCCATGTATGGTGGTTTCTTAAACTTATTGGGACGCCAAAGTCTTCCAAATATGATTCTCAGTAGTAGCCATGTGACCAGAGGGTTTTCCCTTCGTTTCTTCACGCTTGCGCCTGCATCATCGCTTGTGCATCGAGACACACCGCAGCTTGAAGCGGGCATTCAACTCCTGGTCTTTGGTGGAAAGGATATGAAGGGGTTGTACTACTAAAGAGCCCGGAGAAAATGCAGACGAAAACCTCTTGAAGCTTGAAGAAATGGATGCAAGTAATTATCCCAACTAGCTGCGATTCGAAATATGCGACTCGGGATAAGACCCCCACCCCTGGGTTGAGAGTGTTGTGCGCAATTGTTTGTAACTGTTGATTGGGCACTCGCACCAGCGAGAATGGGACTTGTACCTGTGTGTCCTGTATCATCTAGAATCTAAAGTGGTGATTAAGAAGAAGGAAACGGATGTGTCGCAAAATGGCTAGGTACTACCATCGAATGACTCAACAAATCCCGTTCCCAATCAAATGATCTACCTAAAGGCTGCATAGTTCCATGACACTTGCTGCCAAGATCTGCCAAGGAACAATCTCGTCTGAGTGGAAGATGCGATTTCCTGGCGACAGCGCCCATGTCACCAGGGTATCAAGCCCCTAAGATCGGGTTGTGGTGCTGAGGCCTGCTGAGGCCTGCTGAGGCCTGCTGAGGCTTCAAATTTCCCCATGATCGCCTACAGAATGGTCCTTCAACACGGACAAATAGATGTGTTGCAAGGAATTTGGAGGCTCCATAGATCAATCTCTACCAGGGGTGTTGGTCCTGAAGCCATCAGATCTGGCTTTAAGGCAATCGGCTGATCCAGCACCCAGTCCTGACCGGTCAGGACAAAAAACTGTGGTGGCACTTCTTGAAAGGATCACAGTCCTGTGACTGTAGCTCTTTGAACTCAGCTCCCCGAGAGTCGGTGAATCGCCACGCTGGCTAATCCAACACTAGTTGAGTCTGAGTTAAAACACTGATATACCCCAAAACTGCCTCAAATTTGGAAGGTTTGAATCTTTAAATACAAAAATAGATTATCGATATCTGGTCTCCAGAGTCTTAGAGGAAATCCACGCTTGGTTTTGTGACGCTAAATGGATTTGCCTAACAATAGGGCACCCCAAAGTCCTATGGTTGATCATAGTATTCCCCCTTACGACAAACCTAGAAAATCATAACGGTCATAATGATTATTATCATACATGTACATATCCCGTTCTGTACCATATTTTAGTCTAATGATTCCTGCATCGTTCCCTGCCTCCGCCTCCATGAGGCGATCTGCCGTGATGGGCTCCCTGGAGGGCGTTTCTGCGTGGTTTCTGCACTGGTCCAGGCATGGTTGATTTAAGCAACAAGAATAGGGATTTTATAGGGATTTAAGATGATTTAAGATGATTTAAGATGATTTAAGATGATTCACCCAGCCAAAAAATCGGAGTGAACCAACAAAACATTGGGAATTATAGACATGATGTAACCAGCAAAATTGTTGAGCTAAACAACAAAAAGGTGGATCTAAAAGCAAAGAAAATGTCGATTGAACCACGCAAATGGCCTTCTCCGAACATTAAAATGTCCCTTGTGGGTCCCCAATGAATAGATCCAATACGCTAGGACGCAACTTGATGTGGGTATGGTTTATCTGGCCAAACATGTGATAATTTGCCGGCTTGACAGAAATTTGGCGATTTGGGGGTGGTTCTCCTTATCGTAATTTCCGAGCATCTATCCACAAATACGAAAGATTCAAAGTGGAACACTCATGTTCCAACCAGGTCCATGGGAGTCTTGACTCAGGAGCGGTTGCAGCCAAAGTCACTCGAGTTTCGCGTATCCCACACCTGGAGGGGCGTGCTTTGCTGTGGCAAAAAATCGGGAATAAAATGTGAACCACTTCTGATCGTCTTTCGCCCATGATTATCCAGGATTGTTAGGGATATCGAAAAACGGAGAACAAGAAGAAACTAGAGAAACCTGGGGACGCGTTGCGCGATATTTCGAAGAAATGTCTTCCACCTGCTCTGTAGTGTTTTTTTCCCGTCTCCAACAGTCCATAACAGTCATACCACGCAGCCAGCCCCCACCTGGCATTTTTTTGAGTTCTAAGCTGATCTGCACAGACATGCCATCTACCTTGGCCACAAACTGCTACTGATGACACGAATAGCGTCGAGCGCTTTGCGTCCAAAACAGAGAAGCATGTGCAAAAACATGCCTCATTTCTAAGCTCACAAAATTGATGACACCCACCAATAACTAATCGAAGGAAGTTTAGAAGTCAAACTTCCGACAATATGGACAGATGAAAAGCAGAGATGGGAAGAGTCAGAGAAGAGAAGAGAAAAAGAAAGAAGCTCAAAAAGAGAAAGTCTCAGAAGAAAGAAGATCCAGGCGCGCAAAAAAGTAGGAAAGTCGCGAAACACTGTGTTTTTCCAATGATTTGTGGCTCCGGAGGGTCGAAAAGTAGGCTCGCTAAGGCAGCGGGTGCGGAGCCAGCTGGCCAGATGAGAGATGAAAAATTGCACGCCGTTGTGGCGCGAAGCACATTTCCAAGCCAAAATGTACAAAACACCTCAGGTCCGGAGCACTTTTCGAAGTTGCAATGTCGAAAAAGTGCACGCCGTTCTGGCGCGAAGCAAATTTCCAAGTCAAAATGTACAAAACACATCAGCTTCGGAGCCGAAAAAGTGCACGCCGTTGTGGCGCGAAGCACATTTCGAAGTCAAAATGTACAAAACACTTCAGCTCCGGAGCACTTTTAGAAGTTGAGATGTCGAAAAAGTGGATGCCGTTGTGGCGCGAAGCAAATTTCCAAGTCAAAATGTACAAAACACTTCAGCTCCGGAGCACTTTTTGACGTTCAGATGTCGTTTCGCATGGCAGGCGCAAGGGATTGTGCACCTTGTCAAAAGTGAGGGTTTTGCAGCATGTCCAAAAACGATGGCAGGTGTGGGACATTGGAAGAGGATCTGCAAAGATGCATTTTCCGTGGCAGGCGCAGTACAAGAGACATGTTCATCAGAGCTGTTAGGTGGTCCGGGCGCTGATTTCCTGAGAGGGGTTGCATTTTGGAGCATCAGATCTTCAGGTTTGCTGAGACGATTTTGCGTGATAGGTGCAGCACTTCGTATGACCTGGCATCACTTTTTCGTGGCAGGCGCAATACTTTAGACAGGTGGAGTGGAAAAATCGCAAAACGCATTTGTACGAGGCCGTCAGCTCTGCACTCAACTTTCCATTTTTGAAGGACGTCTCGCAGAATTGCTGCGTTTTTGATGTTGTCACCGAGGAAGTCTCGCAGAATCGCTTCGTTGTCAAGCTTGCAGATAGACACATAGATAGAGGAACACTACAACTGCAACTACAACTACAAGTACCACTACACTACTACTACTACTACTACTACTACTACTACTACTACTACTACTACTACTACTACTACTACTACTACTACTACTACCTACTACCTACTGCCTACTGCCTACTGCCTACTGCCTACTGCCTACTGCCTACTGCCTACTGCCTACTGCCTACTGCCTACTGCCTACTGCCTACTGCCTACTGCCTACTGCCTACTGCCTACTGCCTACTGCCTACTGCCTACTGCCTACTGCCTACTGCCTACTACCTACTGCCTACTACCTACTACCTACTACCTACTACCTACTACCTACTACCTACTACCTACTACCTACTACCTACTACCTACTACCTACTACCTACTCCCTACTCCCGACTCCCGACTCCCGACTCCCGACTCCCGACTCCCGACTCCCGACTCCCTACTCCCTACTCCCTACTCCCTACTCCCTACTCCCTACTCCCTACTCCCTACTCCCTACTCCCTACTCCCTACTCCCTACTACCTACTACCTACTACCTACTACCTACTACCTACTACCTACTACCTACTACCTACTACCTACTACCTACTACCTACTACCTACTACCTACTACATACTACATACTACATACTACATACTATATACTACATACTACATACTAGACCTACTACCTACTACCTACTACCTACTACCTACTAACTACTACCTACTACCTACTACCTACTACCTACTACCTACTACCTACTACCTACTACCTACTACCTACTACCTACTACCTACTACCTACTACCTACTAACTACTAACTACTAGGTCGGGCGCTCATAGACGGCCGTATGGTTTCGTGCACTTTCATCTCAGTTTTGATACGAATGTATGAATGGTGGTATGGCAAATCCTCCAGGCTGGCCATTCGAAATGCATGTACAACTTCACATGTCCATGTTTATATCTTGGCGTGTCATATTTTGACGTCGAAAAAAACTACTTCAGTTGAGACACCTTCAGGTGTATTTTCATCAGTGCATCACATTTATTTTCATCCACCGCATGTTCGCCAAGTTTTGTTTAATCTGCAAAAAGTCGAGACAGTTGCTCGAGAACCTCGCTTGGGTTCTTTCCCCAAAGTGCATGGTTTCTCCATGCCCATTGAAACACTTCTAAAGACACATGCTCATGCAAGGTTGCCTCATCTGTTTTTTTTATCTTTTCTGTTGAGCGAGCTGGGAATAAAATGTTTCAGAAAAGATTTCACGACGTAACATCCCAGATGTGTTGAATTCCAAGAAAAGATCTCATGACGTAACATCCCAGATGTGTTGAATTCCAAGAAAAGATCTCATGACGTAACATCCCAGGTGTGTTGAATTCCAAGAAAAGACCTCATGACGTAACATCCCAGATGTGTTGAATTCCAAGAAAAGATCGCATGACGTAACATCCCAGATGTGTTGAATTCCGAGAAAAGATCTCAAGACGTAACATCCCAGATGTGTTGAATTCCAAGAAAAGATCTCATGACGTAACATCCCAGATGTGTTCAATTCCAAGAAAAGATCTCATGACGTAACATCCCAGATGTGTTGAATTCCAAGAAAAGATCTCATGACGTAACATCCCAGATGTGTTGAATTCCAAGAAAAGATCTCATGACGTAACATCCCAGATGCGTTGAATTCCAAGAAAAGATCTCATGACGTAACATCCCAGATGTGTTGAATTCCAAGAAAAGATCTCATGACGTAACATCCCAGGTGTGTTGAATTCCAAGAAAAGATCTCATGACGTAACATCGCAGATGTGTTGAATTCCAAGAAAAGATCTCATGACGTAACATCCCAGATGTGTTGAATTCCAAGAAAAGATCTCATGACGCAACATCCCAGCTGTGTTCAAGTCCAAAGAACGCTATTATACCCCCCCCACCCCCCCCACCCCCCACCCAACACCACGGCAAAAAAAAAAGGAAAAAAAAGCGTTTCACTGAGGCGAGAAACAGTAAAAAAGGAAAAAATGCGCTCTCGCTGTGGCGCCAGTGCAGTGAACTAGCAAAAACACTGTTTCGTGACGCGGCCTTCTGCACACGCCCAGCCAACTACTAACTACTAACTACTAACTACTAACTACTAACTACTAACTACTAACTACTAACTACTAACTACTAACTACTAACTACTACCACCACCACCACCACCACCACAGCTACAACTACAATTACAGCTACACTACATTACACTACAATACTCTAATTAAACTGCAGTACGTTGCAGCCACAAAAACAACTACAACTACACTACATTACACAACACTACACCACACTCATTACATTACATTACATTACACTACAATTGCAACTACCACTACATTGCACTACACGACAATACACTACAACTACAACTACACTACTTTACACTACAATACACAAGACTACACTACACTAAACCACGCTACAGTACACAACACTACGGTACACTACAATACACTAGACTAATTACACCACACCACAACTACAACTGCAACTGCACCACACTAATTACACTACTTTACAACTACAACTTAAAACTACAACTCCACTACGCTACAACTACAACTACAACTACACCTACAACTACAACTGCACTACACCGCACTACATCCAGCAGTTGTGGTGAGGTGACCACTGCAACCATTGCAGCCACTCCAGAAAACACAACTCCAACCACCTTTCGGTCCATCAGTGGATTCGCTCTGCCCTCCTTGATTCACAACAACCAACCTCTCCAATAGGTTTCCTATGTCTGAAACTTCCGCCACCGCCTTGTGCGGTACCACTGGTATACCCGAGTATGTACCACTTGGAAATTGGATTCGAATCCAACATATCCAACATATCCAGCATGACATGAAAGAGTCACAATAATTCACAGTAGAAAGCCTCCCGTTTCTGCAGTTGAGCCGCGTCCTTCACACCTCGGATGCGTCGAAATGATCAAAATCTGCACGGACAAGCATCCAATTCACAGTCACACGGGTAGAAAGGAGAACATGAATGAACCGTGGGCCATAAATGGCCTTAAGGTCTTTTAGGTTCTGATTGCAATGGCTATCCAAGATGTTTCCCATGCGACAAGTGGCCGATGGCCACGAACTGACCCCATCTCATGGTGAAGGTGGGCCTGGAATGCACGATGGAGGACACCTCTTCCTCGGCGCAATGGTCCACTGATGGAGTTAGACTATGTTTTAACACGTTTTAATTAACTATCAAAAGATTAAAGATAGGGTTTGAAACATGTTGAAACACCAAGCATATGGGGTTTTACCATGATCATAGAGTCATACTGACCACCTTTTCTGGGGTTTAGAAAAGAACACTGAGCTGTGCCTGGTTCAAATGTTGCCGTGAACCCATGGCGCCCTCTGTTGTCAAGCCGAAGGGACTGGAGAAAGCCCAGTCATTTCAACTATGAGTTTCATCATCTCCTGTCAACAATCCAGGAGGAAAACCATGCAACCAGTTGGAACCGGGTATAAATAGTGATAAAGTTAAATCTGGGCGAAACTACTGAGAATCTACAGCATCAAGATATGAACACGAAATAGTTCCAAAAAAAAGGATCGTGCTGGGATATGAAGATTTCAAAACAACTTGGGGCACACAGGGACTCATTGGCTACGGTGCGGTTGATCTCTCACGAAAAGCATATGTTGATTCCTAGATAGATACATTCGATTGAACTAGTAGATAGATGAATTCGATTGAATTCGTAAATAGATAAATTCGATTGAATTCGTATAGATAAATAAATCGATTAAATCCATGGATAGAAAAATTAGATTCAATTCGTAGATAAATAGATTCGATTAAAATCGTAGATAGATAAATTCATGATAGATGTATCATCCAACAGCAGTTTTCCATTCTCGGCACCTTCTCAGGCAGGTCGGAAGTCTCCCAGAGATGTTCTACCTGTGGAAGTCCCATTCCGGGAGATTTCAATGGAAGGAGTGGCGCGGGCATTCTTTCACCCACAACTATATGCTGGAATTGAACTAATGAAATGAGAACAGGATATATACAGACTGATAGAACTTACTTGATTGATGCCAATGATAAAGATGGGACAACGGGAACAGAACTTGAATCAACTTGATATAGCTGGTACAACTTATGGTTATAATATACATATATATGTTATGACCAAGCAAAATAGGAATGCAGGTATTTTGTTGTATTGGGTGAGGAGTTGGGAAAAGTTGGTAGCATCCACACGGTTCGCTTGATATTATGACTGTGACCACTGGACGTCCATTTCTGGACATCTCTTAGAGTCTTTCCGATACTCGTCACTGGCGGTGGCGAAAACTGATTTCACCCAACAGGTTGGAGATGGTTGGATAATCTCCATCGACTGCCATCCCAACACATGATTATCGTTGCAGGCCACTCAATTGGTACCCAAGGGACCATCTTCTGCGTGGGTGTGGCGATGGCTGTGTCGTCCACCATGGGATGGTAGTAGGATGACTTGCCCAGCACCTCTTCATCGCCCACCTTGAAACGTATCCTGGGGAGATCTTCCTCACTGGAGGCAACATCAGTTGATCCTAGCGACACTGGGACTATTGGGACTCTACGATACTATGACTCTAGGCAAAAAGAAAATCACTGCTCTTAGTTGAAAATGCTGGCAACGCTGGCAACTCTTGGATCTTTTCCAATCCAAAACGACTGGCAACTGGCACCGCTCCTGGCCCCTTCGCAAAAATCATCTTTGATGCCGCGACAGCTCCTGGCCATCTGCTTGCGGAGTTGTACTGTTTTCGCGGGAGACCTGCCACCATTAGGGTTGCTCCCAACACTTCAGATAGAAGGGAAAATTGGGAGGTATTGGCTTCAAACAATGAGGTAAAACATGTAAAAACAACAATTTCCGCCACCTGTGGCATTGATTTACCTACGATGGGCTCAGGTGGAATGCTGCCGTAGCATCAGTTGAACAGCCCATTGTATCCATGTCTGCAGCAGACAGATCCAGAAATTTGGGTCGTCCCAATTAGACCATGTTTTCCACTGGTTTCCACCCATTGGCACAGCACAAACATGTTTTTATCGATGCATTTACAAATTCTGAAAGGATTCGGGACACCTCCCCTCCAGGTCCCAACGGTCCCAACTTCGCCTCAAGTGAACAAAGAGGAAGGCCTGTGTGTCGGCATTGCCCTTGCCAGTGGGGACAAACTCTGACGTCCTCGGGCGGTGGACCAACCATGAGCACACTCAAGGGTATGAAAAGACTATTCACGTGTCAAGGTGCCTCCAATAAACGGGAGTGCAAACTCATCTTTTATGTTTAGACTGTTTAGACCTTTAATCGGGGAATGTACACACATTTTTTCGGCACAAACACTTTTCTTCCACTTGGGTATGGGTACTTCTCCATTTAATGGAGACCAAGTACTGACTACTGCAGAGGTCACCATGACTTGTTTTCCCTTCTCAAATAATCGACGTTGCTGGGAAACTTATCAGCCCTTGACTGGCATGTTGGCCATCGACCTTGACAACTACATGGCAAACTACCTGAGTGCGGCTTCCAAAAACGTGTAATTGTTTCTTCTTGGGCACGCCAAGCTATTTACCAACTTGGACAAACCTGGTCATTGTCACAAAAGGGAAGCCGACAAACTGGTTTATATACATACGCCCCTCCTTTTGTACATCAACGGACAACGCAGCCAAGTGACGGTGAAAGGTGGAAGAACTTGGCACTCCTTGGGTCTCTCGGGTCCGCAGCACATGGTCACAGTTTCTCTGTCCACAGTTAGGCTATACCCTCCACAAATGTGGCTGAAAATATGTTGAGACATTGAGACCATCGAAATGTAGAGAAGGGCCCCTTCACCTGTAGCATCTCACCACCTATATAAACCATATGCACCGGCGAAAAGAGGCTATACACCCACGACCTCTTAAACCCATCCGAACCTTTCATGATGCCCTGGAGAGCCAAGTCTCAGCTCCACCTTCATAGCCTTGTCCTCTGACCCTCTATCAGTCCTGGAAGCGGAAGATGGCATGTTTTTCTAAGAGGTTTTCGCTTGAACCATGTATTGCGATGTATTGAATCCAACCCAGAAACAGCAGAAGACCCCCGAAAAACATCCTCCATCATCCAACCCACCATCCATCATCATCATTGTGTCCTTTGGCTCAAGGGCCATTTCCATTCCGGTTGTTGCACCAAGTTCTGCACCGTCAGGCCCTCCACAATGCCTAGATGAACCTTGGCGCTACTAAAGTGCCAGAGGAGGTGGATGACATCCGCAATGACCAGTATTGGTGATGATGATGATGATGATGATGATGGTGATGGTGATGATGATGATGATTATGGTGGTGATGTTCATGATGGTGGTGATGGTGATGATGATGATTGGTGGCTCGATGCCGTGCAAAAAGGATTTAAGCTCGTTCAAACTGTGTAACAACACGACGTACATATATATATATATATATATATATGTATGTGTGTTGTGTACATATATATATATATGTATATACATAGTTTATACATATATATATATATCAAAAAGAATGAACTGCACTCGAAGCTTCCCGCTCTGTACAAACCATCGGCACTGCTTGGTTTTGGCAAGCGACATCTTGGTAGGTGATATCTTGCGAAAAGACTTCTACGTTCACCTCAGACCAAAATGGTTTCAGCTAATGATTGTTGAAAATGACCAAAGCCCAGGGCAGTAGGCTGAAGTCACCCCTAAGACGCTCAATTTTGCTAGGGGCTTGTGTTCAAGCAACCATAAATCATCCATAAATCATTGCTCATACCAGTAGTACCGCACAAGACGGTGGCGGAAGTTTCAGCATTTACTTCAATAGGAGAGCTTGGTTGTTGTGAATCACGGCTGGCAGAGCGAATCCACTGATGGACTGCAAGGCGGTTGGAGTTGTGTTTCTGGGGTGGTTACAATGGTTGCAGTGGTCACCTGGTCGATCACCTCACAACTGCTGGATGTAGTGTGGTGTAGTGCAGCTGTAGCTGTAGCTGTAGCGTAATGGAGTTGTAGTTGTGGTGTAGTGTAATTAGTGTAGTGTAGTTGCAGTTGCATTTGTGATGGTGTAATGAGTGTAGTGTAATGTAATGCAGTGCGATGTAGGGAATTGAAGTGTAGTGTAGCCGAGTGCAGTGTTGTGTAAGGTAGCGTAATTGTAGCTGTAGCTGTTGCTGTAGTTAGTGTAGTGTAGTATAGTGTGGTGTAGTGTAGTGCAGTGTAATTGAGTGTAGTGTAGCGCAATGGAGTGTAGTGTAGTGGAGTATTATGTAGTGTAGTGTAGTGTAATTAGTGTAGTCTAGTGTAATGTGGTTGTAACTGTAGTTGTAGTTGTGATGGTAGTTGTATTTGCAGTTGTAGCTGTAGTGTAGTGTAGTGTAACGTTACTGTAGTGCAATGTAGCGTAGTGTAGTGTAATGTAATTAGTGTAGTGTAGCGTAGCGTAGTGAAGTGTAGTGTAGCGTAGCGTAGTGTAGTGTCACTAGTGTAGTGTAACTAGTGTAGTGTAGCGGAGTGTAGCGTAGCGTAATGTAGTGTAGTTGTAGTTGTGGTTGTAGTTACATATAGTTGTAGTTATAGTTGTAGTTAATATAGTGTAGTGTAGTTGTAGTTGTAATTAGTGTAGTTGTAGTTGTAGTTAGTGCAGTTGCAGTCGTAGTTGTAGTGTAGTACAGTGTAGCGCAGTGCAGTGTAATTGAGTGTAGCGTAGCGCAATGCGTGTAATGTAGCGTAGTGTAGTGTAATGTAGCGTAGTGTAGTGTAGTGTAGCGTAATGCAGTTGTAGTTGTAGTTGTAATGTAGTGTAGCGTAGTGTAGTCGAGTGGAGTGGAGTGTAGTGTAGCGGTGGTTGTAGTTGAAACTTCTACAAAACCCTCACGTTTTGTTCACTTTGCGCAAGGTGCACAATCCCTTGTGCGCCTGCCATGCGAAACGACATCTGAACGTCCAAAAGCGCTCCGAGACCGTCAGTTTTTAACACGTTTGACTTCGAAATGTGCTTCGCCCCACAACGGCGTACACTTTTTCGACATCTCAACTTCCAAAAGTGCTCCGAGAATGGTCTGCTTTGTGGCTTTGTGCCTTTTGACTTCGAGATGTGCTTCGCGCCACAACGGCGTGCATTTTTTCGACAGCTCAACTTCCAAAAGTGCTCCAAACGTGAGATGTTCTTAGCTTTTGCACTTTCAAATGTGCTTCGCGCCACACCGGCGTGCAACTTTTCATCTCTCATCTGGCCAGATGGCTCTGCACACGCCGCTTTAGGGAGCATACTTTTCGACCCTCCGGAGCCACAAATCATTGGAAAAACATAGTGTTTCGCGGCTTTCCTTGGTTTTCGCGCACCTGCATCTTCTTTCTCCTCACTCTTTCTCTTCTCTGATCTTCTCTCTTCTGCTCTTCTCCTCTCTGACTCTTCCCCCCTCTGCTATTCCATCTGTCCATATTGTCGGAAGTTTGACTTCTAACTTCCTTCGATCAAGGTCTTCGGTGCTAGTGCCATGGATACCCAGGCACGTGCTGATCGCCAGTGTAGACCAAAAGGTCGAACCAACCTTCACTTTCAGAGCTCCTGTGAATGGAATGTTGAGCTGCTTGTGGCTCAAGTGGGTATCATTCAACTTCCTTTGGGAGCCCATGTTTGTTTCTTCCATCTGTGGACTTTGCACCCCCAGAACATACCATTCTGGTCAGCATATACCAAACAATACCTCTGTAAGTCCCCCAAACCCCTGATCCAAACCGTATCCTGATGGCCGGTGTCTGACAGTTCCTCGCTCCAAGCTGTAGCATCACATAGGAAGACCTCAGCCATGTGGAAACGCGTCGCCATCATTCAGGATGGGTTGGAAAAAACTGGTCATTCCATTCTCTACAATTTCATAAAGAGTAACCTGCGGTTCATTCTCCATGGATCGCTGAAAATTCCGGCTACTGATCATGTCTTTTCCTACAGGAGAGAAATAGACGGGGAGAGGATTTCGTAGGACTTCATCTGGCGCATGGGGTTGTAACTGAGTCACTAGGGTGGGAATCGAGATTGTACATCATAGTTGGATGCAATTGGTACTCCAAATTGGCAGAATGTATGTATGTATGTATGTATGTATGTATGTATGCATGTGTATATATATATATAGATAGAGAGAGAGAGAGATTATATAGTTAGGTCTTTGACCCCACTGCTACGTGGTGATTCCTTATGATTATCTTTGAACTGATACCATGGCGTGTGCAGTGGACATCTGACACCGTTTTTTCTGAAGCATCGTGACATTTGACTGGGTCCGGGTATAAAAATTTTGAAGAAATTGTCGGTGGGGTCCAACATTTATCACGGACCAGCCATGGAGCCCCTGCCATGACTCACTTGATCGCTTCCACATCGGCAACTTTTCCTAGATTCTTCTTTTTCATGGGCTCATTGGTGGCTGCGAAACCACACAAGTCATTGATAGCCATTGGCTACTTGCTTCGAAATAAACCGGCGAAGATTAGTGTTGGCATCATCCAGCTCCTGGATGTGAATGGTCCCATCGCAGCCCAGCAGCAACTGGGCAGTGTAGCAGCCCCAGCCACAGCTATGGGCATAGCTATCCAGGTCCAGGCCCTCCACGCCACAGACACACCTGGAGCCCAAGCTGACAACAAATCTTTTCGAATCCAATCCTTGAAAGACCACATCCAAAGCTTTTGCGCTTTGCCAGGATATTTCCACATCTAAAACTCCAATTTTTCTTCGAAACGAAAACGGTCACGGTGGGTGCTCCCTTTTCCTCCTTGTTCCAAGGGACAGTCGCATGACGATTTCGGGTTCTGGAAACTCCAAGATGTCCATGTCGATGTCAATGGCGTGGCCCTCCAACCAATGCACAAAGATCTGATTGGGGACCTCAGCCAACCATTGCCATACCTCATGGACAATATATTCATGTCGCTGTCGCCCGGAAGGGGAAAGCTCATGGCAGCATCTCAGAAAGTAGGCACCCTTGTGCAGCAAAATGACCCGACTGTGTTTATGCACCCCGGAAGCATTGGGGCGCTCCCGGTGCTGTGGCTGCAAGCCACCGGGGTACCATGATGCCGATGGCTACAACCGCTACAGTCAAAAAGATAATATAATGATGAAACCTCAAATAACCCTGCAGAAGATAAACCTCTGGAAGATGATTTTGCATTGAACGCGGCATCTTTCTACTTCTATGATTCTATGGTTCCCTGGGTTGGCGTACTTCCCCCCACCACGTGGCATTTTTAGGTGTCTTGCATCGTTGAAGGAAACACTTCACTTCAGCTGGGTCCATTGGCTATTGAATATTGAGGCTTCATTCAATGATGACTAAATATACTAAACCCTGCGGTGTGAAGTCGAAATGGTTCCACGACATAGGCTGAAATTGTCTTCCACATTGCCGCAAGCAGGTCTAGACGGTTTCGCCAGCAACCCCTTCGAACACCAAAATACCACCAACAGGTCGCTGAGAATGTCCGCAACTACCTGTCACATGAGGTTGTCTGCACTCCAGATATACATCCTATGAGATATCCCCATCAACAATGGATTTGGCTTGAACAACAGGGGTGCCCTGCGAAGTTAGCAATCTTCGCATTCTCATTTCTGAACTTTGCAGGTGTCTGAAGAGATCCAGTGCCAGAGCTGTTGCCCAGTCAGTTCCCGGCCTTGCGCAGCGTTCGCGTCACCACATCCATCTGCAGACCCAGAGCCAAGCCTCCTGGAAGGGTTCATTGATAAAAGAAATCATGTCCATCCTCTCTAGGGCAGCTTGAGCAGCACTAGTCCCAAGTCCCAAGCTGCCAAGGTATTTCAGGTATTGGCAGCATGGTGATGTCCCCTCCCAAACCACCTGAGGTCTGCTGATAAAGAAGAAAACGGGAATGTTTCGATCCCACCCCGCATGCTTCGGATGCTTGAAGTCAGTGCCTCTCAGACTCCTTCCTCTCAGCCCTGCAACAGTATGACCTTGACCTTCACTGTGCTCTGTAGGCTTCACATCAAGAGAGAGCCACAGTATATCCAGTACATCCAACAGCAACCTTCATCACTCAGGTTTCCGCTCCCCACCATCCCCCACCATCCACCATCCAGCCTGTGAAGTTCCATTGAACCTGGGGAGGCGAAAGCATTGTGATCTGCATCCCACCAATGATCGGAAGCCTCGGCTACCCGCCAGAAACGGTGCGCAAGTGAAGGTGTATGGTCCTCCTGTTCTGTCAGGGTGAAAGCTGTGAAACCAGTGACACATTCATAGAATTATAGCAGGTTGTTAACTGCTACTGATCCTACCAGCTTCCAAGGAGCCGATCCAGTATGGGTCTCAACTTCAAAAGGACCGTCCCTTCCAGAGAGATGTTGTCCTGAGCTGAGCTAGGCAAGTCGAGCGGTTCGAAACACAGGAACATAGAATTACGTGTTATCGCACAAATACATGTAGCACGTGTGTGTGTGTGTCTGTTATAATAGATAGGTATATATACATATACATATACAGTATATATATATATATCATAGGGACAATGGGTGCTGATGACAATAATAGCAATAATACTCATGATGATAATAATAATAGTGGTAATAATAATGGTAATGTCAACAATGATGATCATAATAATGATGATAATAACAACGAAAATAATACAACTAGCTAACAACAATACCTATAATTGACCATGATAGTAAAACAAACATGATGATGATTTAAAAAATGACAATCATAATCAAAAATAGTTATAATGATGATAATGATAATGAAAATAATAGTATGCAACCTAACTTTTTTAGTAACAATGCGTCCAGGGGCCAAGCCGATGCGCACAGGATCCAAGACCATCACGATCTTGCCAGCGCAGTGCCAGGTGACACCCATCTCCTGGTCGATTTCATGGGACCGTGGGGATATCCTGGGATATATAACCAATGTTAACCAAACCTTTAGGGATATGCAATATAATGGGAGAATGGGATTTAATGGGATATATATATATTATAAATATATACACATTTAGGCTGTGTCTGACATTGGGGTATACTAGGGAAATTGCAACGTCTTCATCGGGATTCCCCCATCTAATATGAAAGTATATATATATATACATAACATGATATAACTCTCATCATTCTCAGGGTCTATGTTGGTGGCTTGGATCCTGAGGTAGGATGGAAAAACAAAAGATCGAAACATCGACAATCTTAAAAACGAAAGCACGAACCGTTGTTGGGGACCATACCTCTTGGCACAAACTGGGACCCGCAACCAGCAATTTTTGGGCTTCTTTCAAATCCAAGGAACCAAACTCACGCCCTTGAAGTCGTTCCTGCAAGGCAGTACCATGGGAGCGAATGTTTGGCACATCAAACCTAGAAGTGCCTGAAATGGAAGGGTTAGTGTCTTGATGTTCAAACTTTGGTTCCAAAAATTTGGTCTGCCAAAATCTCTGGTTACTACATACCAGTTGCTTTTGCAATAAAACCTTCAAGAGTTTCGGGGGTCGGAATTTCGCACCCAGATATGGACAAAGCAACGCCACAATGGATACAGCTATAATCAAGAATGTCAATGGAAACTTACCCATTTTGTAGATGACATCCTGATGCAAAATTGGAGCTTGTATTGCGATGTTTGTTTTTGAAACTGGCTTCGTCCCAAACTTTTGCACCCCTCTCTGACGTCAAAAGTCTCCGTGCCGAACCGGCAGCTGACCCAAACTTGGTGCACATATCACATAGTCAAATTTGTACAAAAAAGATGATGGTTGAATGGAACGACAAGACTGGATGATCCAGACCTTGCGCCGAAGCTCCAAAGGACCCGTGTACTTGGCAAGAAACCTTGGAATACCTTTGTCCCGGTTGCATCCCAATATGTAAGTACAATCATCATCCAATTTATCCTTCACAATAAACTTAACCTCTCTATACTAGAGAAATCCACGACATTCCTTCAAAGTGTCTGGCTCCGGGTTTTCGTCAAGACACTGGATGTCAAAGACCGGATGAATGTCCGAGAAGTTGGGCATCACATCTCCAAAGTCGATGTCCTGCCACATCGGTCGTTTGATGCTGGCATGTCCACCAGTTGATGGTCTGCAGCGGGAAACGGCGGGGATGCCATAGCACATGAAGACCGAGCTCCGGCTCGTGACTACCAGGCAAAAAACTACATCTTAGAGATCCCATGTCAGACTGAACAGTTTCCAAAAAAAGTATCAAGAATCTGCCTAAGGATTGTTTGGGACACACAACTCCCAACCCCGGAAACGTGGTTGTGAAATATAGGTTAGGGATGGATAAAGGGAACATACCTTCCCGGCAGCCCTGTGTTGTGGAGGGATTCAGCCCGTGTCCTGGAAGCTGATCTTATTCAGCGGCTTGGGCAAGGCTTCCTGGATGATGGGTTCCAACTCCTGAGAGAAAGGTTGGATTCGGTGTGATCTTCAACCATCCGACCAAGGACCAAATAGCCTTGGACAGAATGATTAAGATGCAGAAAACAACCAGGTCAACCGCAGTGACCAATCAAGGTTTGATAGTTCCGAGTTATTTTTCGTTCAAGTATGTACACCTTGTGATCTAAACACCGTGTCATCCCGTTAAAAGTTGGGATTCCTTCTAAGACTTCTAATTCTAAATAATTAATAGGCAAATTGGTTTCTCTGGGGCAAGTTGACAGTCACAGGAGAGCGATGCCATCCCTTGCAGTTTGAAGAGCGGCATCCCATGATCACCAATTTCAATCTGGTTCCAGCCAGTGTTCATGTGCGTCACTGCACCCCTCCTACGTGAGAAGGTCACCAGTTGCTGTTCAAAAAAATCACCTGTCAGAGGTGTTGATGCAACTATATCATAGAGCTACCAATTTTGGTGGGGGTCAGCGACCTGCCATAACTCAGCAGAAACCCCCATTCACAACTACGGCATCCCATCCCATCAGACTACCAAAATGAAAATCAGAATCCCACAGACCCAAAGAAACGCCCACAACCGCGCCTTTTTGATGACCTTCTCCATGGATTTCTTCAGATAGGGCCAGTGCTGCCCCAGCAGCCAGTGGAGCCATTTCAGGTCATCGCCTGGCGTCCCGGTCAATACGTGGCAGGTTTTCAGGTTGGTGCAAATGGATGGATGGATGGATGGATGGATGGATGTCTGTATATCTCTCTGTCTGCCTGCCTGCCTGGCTGCCTGTAGGTAGGGTAGGGTACGGTAGGGTAGGGTAGGATTAGGGTTAGGGTTAGGGTTAGGTTAGGTTAGGGTAGGGTAGGTAGGTAGGTAGGTATGCAGCAGTTTATGTATGCAGCAGTTTAAACATGCATCCGTTTATGTATGCAACAGTTTATGTATGCATCATTCTATGTATGTATCAGTGTATGTGTGCATCAGTGTACGTAAGTATCACAATAACAATATGCATGCATGCAAGCACTCATGTATGCATATTTGAATGTACATATGTATCTACGTGTTATATGATATGCTATGATATGATATTACATTATATATTTATATATCATATGAAATTATTATATTATCAAATATTGTGCTATATCATATTAAACTATATTAAACTATATTTTACCAGTAGTACCGCACAAGGCGGTGGCGGAAGTTTCAAACATAGGAAACCTATAGGAGAGGTTGTTTGTTGTGAATCAGGGATGGCAGAGCGAAGCCACTGATGGACCGACAGGTGGTTGAGGTCTCCGCTCTTTCTCTCTCTCTTTTTCTCTCTTTCTCTGATTATCTACCTACCTACCTACCTACCTACCTACCTACCTACCTACCTACCTACCTACCTACCTATCTACTACCTACCGATCCATCTATTTATCCATCTATCCATCTATCTATCTATCTGTCTATCTTTCTATCTGTCTATCTATCTATCTATCTATCTATCTCTCTATCTCTCTCTCTCTCTCTCTCTCATCTGTCTATCTAACTAACTAACTAACTATCTATCTATCTATCTATCGATCGATCCATCCATCCATCCATCCATCTATCTATCTCTCTGCCTGTCTGTCTGTCTATCTATCTACCTGTCTATCTGCAAGCTTGAAAACCAAGCTATTCTGCGAGACTTCTTCATTTTTAAAACGCAGCATTTCTGCGAGACTTCCTCATTTTTCAAAGTTGACAACATCAAAAATGAAGCAATTCTCCGAGACTTCCTCAATGTTTGCACGTGACAACGTCAAAAACGAAGCAAATCTGCAAGACTTCCTCATATTTCGAAGTTGACAACATCAAAAACGAAGCAATTCTGCGAGACTTCTTCATTTTTTGAACTTGACAACATCCAAAACGAAGCAACGCTGCGAGACTTCTTCAATTTTTGAACTTGACAACATCAAAAACAAAGCAATTCTGCGAGACTTCCTTCAAAAATGGAAAGTTGACTGCAGCGCTGACGGCCTCGTACCAATGCGTTTCGCGATTTTTCCACTCCTCCTGTCTAAAGTACTGCGCCTGCCACGAAAAAGTGATGTCAGGTCATACGAAGTGCTGCACCTGTCACTCAAAATCATCTCAGCAAACCTGAAGATCTGATGCTCCAAAATGCAACCCCTCTCAGGAAATCAGCGCCCTTAACATCTCTGGTGAACATATCTTTTGTATTGCGCCTGCCACGCGAAATGCATCTTTGCAGATCCTCTTCAAATGCCCCACGCCTGCCATCGTTTTTGGAAATGCTACAAAACCCTCACATTTGCTCACTTTTGAGAAGGTGCACAATCCCTTGCGCCCGCCACGCGAAACGACACCTTAACGTCCAAAAGTGGTCCGAACCCCTGGTGCTTTTAACATTTTAACTTCGAAATGTGCTTCGCGCCACAACGGCGTGCACTTTTTCGACATCTCAACTTCCAAAAGTGGTCCGAGCATGGTGTGTTTTGTACATTTTAACTTCGAAATGTGCTTCGCGCAACAACGGCGTGCACTTTTTCGACATCTCAACTTCCAAAAGTGGTCCGGACCTGGTGTGCGTTGTACACGTTGAGTTCGATGCTTCGCGCCACAACGGCGTGCACTTTTTCGACATCGCAACTTCCAAAAGTGGTCCGAACCTGGTGTGCTTTGTACATTTTGACTTCGAAGCGCGCTTCGCGCCACAACAGCGTGCACTTTTTCGACATCGCAACTTCCAAAAGTTGTCCAAACGTGAGGTGTTTTTAGCTTTTTCACTTGCAAATGTGCTTTGCGCCACAACGGCGTGCACTTTTTCATCGCTCATCTGGCCAGCTGACTCCGCACCCGCCGCTTTAGCGAGCCTACCTTTCGACCCTCCCGAGCCACAAATCACTGGAAAACACAGTATTTCGCGACTTTCCTACCTTTTCGCACATCTGCATCTTCTTTCTTCTGACTCTTTCTCTTCTCTCATCTTCTCTCTTCTACTCTTCTCTTCTCTCTGATTCTTCCCATCTCTGCTTTTCATCTGTCCATATTGTCGGAAGTTTGACTTCTAAACTTCCTTCGCTTATATATATATACATATATATTATTTTATATTCATTATATTATAAGTATACATTATACGATATCATATTATGTTTTATGGTATGGCATGTGATGTGATGTGATATAATGTAGTGTACTGCTATGCCATGCAATGCAATGTACCGTAGTGCAATGTAATGTAATGTAGGGTACCAGTAGGGTGACGTAAGGTAGTGTAATTCAACGTAATTTAATGTATATAAGTTAATGTAAGTTAATGTAATGTGTGTGTATACTGTATATGTGTGTACTTCTTCATTGATTCATTGGCATTAATACAGTATTATATAATCTGTACAGTGTATACTCAGTGCTCTGGTTTCCAGGGTTTTATCTTTACATTGCATCTGGCAGAACTATACAGTCACTTGATGGGACCATCTGGTGTGGCAGTTTTGCAAACTCTGACAACTAGGAAGTAAGTATCTCATGTTGGAGATGAGTCAACAACTAATTATCGGACCATCGGAATATGATGAACATCCAGCTATACCAACAATTTTGGTGCTCATCAGGCTATCAAGGTGAACCGACCCCATATTTGCGTTCCCTTGCACGCTCCAGCCTGCGGCCGAAGGCCCCTCTTCGGCCCTCTCCAGCAGGCCATGCGACATATCCTGAGCTCATCTCAGTGGGCTGCCGAAACGCTGACATTTTTTGGCGGCTTCCCCGGCCAAAGCTTCCAAGGCGCATTATTGTACTCCTGGGTGGTGGAACGGAGGTTGATCCTGACTGGATTGCTGCGACGGCCAACATCTGAGCAGAGCCCGAATCTTAATATCAGATGTTATGTGATTGTCTTTCAGTGCAGCCACACACCACCAGATGGGTAAATTGTATCCCCTGTCTGAGCCTAGCGTATGCAGGTTCGGGAAACCAGCTTTTACAAACTGAGAAGCTTTCACAAACGGAGAAAGCCAAAATCATTCATCAATGGGCCCTTCAACTTTTCCCCTCGATGTTGATGGCCTGAGGTTGAAGCCAAGGCAAATCAATAGTGTAATACGTTGGAACCGTTGGAAATCAGCATGTAACAGCATGTAACAGCAAGGGTGATCACAACATCTTCACGTACTGGCTCTACGATCCCTGGGATTCCCGAAAGGAACTCGGCCTTGAGAGCTGACTGCGACTCGACGTGGCACTCAGCTGTGTGACCTGTTTTTTTAGATCGGGCAATCCACTGATTGAATCCCACAATGAAACTGTCTGCCATGCAGCTCAAAATCAGCATCTGACCTTTCAAAGTCGCTAGTTTCGCAGTTTGCTGACACTCCAAGGATCACATGAGTCATGGGAGGATCTATCCAACTTCGAGAAACACCCTACTGGTTCTCTTGAGAGCTAATCTTGGTAACACGTGTTCTGTCTGAAGATCTCTGAAATCCCATCATTGTTGCAAACAGATCAGGTGTGCTAAGGCTGTCCTGGGATCATGACACTTCTACAACCAAGAAAATTCAAAACGTTGACCAGCGGGACAGTCCAACGGTGTGTGATTTGATGGTCTTCCAGGATTCCAGTTCAGCGAGACGATCAGTTTTGATGACCTTTTTGAGACAGCAACTTCGTGCACAAAACCAACAAAGGCAGACTTCCCAAGCATCAGCAGGTGATTTTGGCATCCTGGCACGACAATCAGCATTGCCCCGCCTGGGCCTCCACGATTTGCTCGATCTTCTCATCGAAGTCGCTGTTCTGCGGAAGCTACTTCTGGACATGTCTGGGGAAAACTGCCTGGAATCGCTTGTTAGGAATCCGCTTGTTACGAGAATCATCAACATGTCCAAGACATGCCAGGAATCACCAAATGTTGGTCCCAAATCTAATTAGTTTGTAGAAAATCCATGGTCCAAAGATAGGGTCACTATCTTCGGGTACAGTTCCACTATCCACTGAGCCACAGCAGTTCCACAAGGCCCGCAGCCTGTCTGTTCGGACTGCCCTTCGGCATCGATGGACACGCGCAGCCATGATTCGACAGCGAGAGGCCCATGGACCGCGGGGACGCAGCAAGGGTTTTCCCCCAAAAAAAGGGGCAGCTGTCAGCTGCCCCACAAAGTGACCATATAGTGACCATTAAACTCCTGAAATCTCCTGAAACTACCGTTTTTTTGCGATCTACCAAGGATTTTTGGCACAGTCAGAGGAGGTGATCGATTTCAGTTTGAACATGTTTGAACTAAGAAGCAGGGGGTAGGTGATCGTTGGGTCAGGGGGAGCTGGGGTGACCCTAGTGGTAGCTCGTTGGGGCCTGATAGGCCACTTCCACCAAGGTGAGCTGGGGGAGTCAGCAGTACGGAAGATGAGTTGGAAGATCAGTTGGAAGACAAGAATAACAAAATCAGACCTCACATGAACTTGGTGAAATTTGATGCTGCACTTCAGAGGTTCCGTAGAAACTTTCAAGGCATAGGCGTTGCAAGATGCCAAGGTGCCCAGATGCCCAATTGCCATGAGTTGAGGTTCTTCAATGTTCGATACGACTGATCCATTCATCTTGAGCCAACCAAGGCGGCAACGGTCAGACGACTGAGAGGTCGAGTCAGTCCATTATGAGCATTTGATGACATGGGCCGAGGAAGCCAACTTGAATGTTTGCGAGCCATGTCTGTTTAGGGCGTCGTCTGATTTGGGAGTCTGCAAGATGTTCTTGGCCTAATTATGAAGGTTAATCGAACTTCAAAAGCCATGACAAGTAGTTGTCATATTCCAGCTTGATGGAGTGACCCCAGAACAACTCCCAAGATGTGCTGAATTGGGGTCCTTGAGCCTGAGCCCAGAAAGCCCAGTGCAAACCGTCATGTCAAGGATGTCAATAGGGGTCACAAAGATTGACCGCCTGACGCCAAATCGGAGGCCGCACAAGGCATCCAGCAACCTCAAAGGCCGGAGTTTGGATCCAGGGGTCCAGCTTTGGATGGGAACCCATGGGAACCCATGGGAACCCATGGGAACCCATGGGAACCCTATCACCAGCCACATCAGGCCAACTTCCAAGTGACAGCCCTGGGATCCCCCAGCGAAACCTTCCTCTGCAACAATAGGTCCTTGAGATCAGCTGCCAGCAAGTTCAGGTCCCAATAAAACTCAGTGGGTATGGTTCAACAATATTCAAAAACAGGGTTGCCATTGGGCCATTGAAAAAATCGAGAACCTCTATATAAGACTCTATAGACAGTATACATATATATATATATAGGATTATATAGGAGTTACTTATTAATTAACCCATCCAAATTTGGGGTAATTACATCATTTTGAGCCACGACAGAGATCACACCTGGCTTGAACAGTCTGGTGCTTCCCACCATCTCCGAAGACCACACCACATGCTCCTCGTCGTTCAGCCGGGTGTACAGATCGTGCCTGCAAGACATCATGCGCACACCCGAAGGCTCAAGAGCTTGGAGTCAAACACCTGGAAATTCCACACGTTTCTGCAAAGTATTACCACGAATTTTCACAGGCCCATGAGTCAACTCCCAAGTTTCACCTAGGTTGGCTTCAAAACTCTGCCAGCTGACCCAACATGTTGAAACGTCCAGGAGATTTCCAACTCGGACTGCGATGGAAATATCACTGGAAGCTTGTTACCGGGAAATAAGGCAGGAAACTTAGAGACAAAATGACTGTCCAAAACGATGTTAAACAGTTGGGATGAGCCCTGCAGGCGCATTAACTACATCCAAGAATTCTGGACATATGACATACACTGTATGCCTGAAGCATGGCCACATCAAATCTCCCAGCCAGGGATCCAACTATCAGCACCAGGATATGTTCTTGAACCCTTGGTACCCTGGGCCTCTTCTCTTTCAACTCAATGAAGATGTCTCCCGTCTCCATGCCAGGCGACTGGACGAAACAAGGGTTAGTTGGGGGTTTGGAATTGGCTTGGGCTGATGGGATGCTGAATTGAACTCTGAATGACCCATCATCAAATCATCAGAAATAGTTGCAGTATCTTTAGCGTAAGCCTCGTCATAGTTCCAAAATGTTCCAAATGCTTACCAACTCCTCATCCAGCCAATGAAATCCCACTACTTACTAGAAGTCTGATGATTAGCAATTTTTGAAAGGAAGAATACTGTAATGACTTCAGTCAAATCATGAAACCAGTATACGCAGAAACAACCAATATTTTTTCGCAAAGGATCCTACATAGCACCACGGGCACAAGCCATTCATACCCACATGCTTTCATAGTTGAGGCTGACTGCCTCAAATGACCAAAATAGCTGTCTGACGTTTTTCATGCTTGGCATCCCAGGACAGCATTTTTCACCAATCCATTAGGGAAGGCACAGCATTGAGACACCGAGACACCATGTCATGTTTGCTTTCCAGACTCCCCCACGAATGATGCTAGGTTGAGCCCTTTGTGGGCTGGCAAGTATTCCCTTGCTTGAGGAACATCGCCTGATGGCTAATCGCCATCTGATTGATCGTGGCATTCCCCACATCCCCAGAGACCCGCCGCTGCATTCCACAATGATTTTTTGTTCACACCAAGCGTGGGCGCTTTGGAGTGCACCTCGGCCAAGGTACCAAAGATGGCAAGCTATGCTGGTTGAGAGTGAACCTTAATGTACCTAAGGCAGACAGAACCATTCAAAGTACAGTACCTGAACCGCTCCAAACCACCGACCCATGGATCCCAGCACTGCCAGAGGCCAAGATTTGTCGGACTGAAACAGTACTCCCTGGAATTCTGCTTGACTGCCACTGCAAAGTGTTCAATCATTATCTTTGGAATGGGTCAAACCCCCTTTACCCTTTTACCCTGTTGAAGACCAAATATAGCTGGGTAATCTATGTTCTCACAAAGATGGTCCCATTGCCCTTTCCTTCGTTACTACATGTGATGGGTAGGGAGCAAGTCCATGGCCTCTTCCGAAATCAGGTCCTAGTTTGCAATGCCGCAATGCTCATGATTTTGGAGAATTGCTCATAATTGCTATGCCAAATTGTGATAATTAGGTATGTTGCGTCTTTAGTCTGTTGCATATGCAACAAATTGGCCCAACTCCTCGCTGCTTCCCGCCTTTCACGCGCGTCCCGCGCCGTTGAGGCGCGTTCCCCGGCCAGGCGTGCTGCTTCGGCTGCGGCGTTGCAGGGTGCTGTGGCAGGGATCCTGTGGCGAGTCTACCCGAAGCCAGGATTTCTAATGAGATTGTGGTTAGGAGGAAGGGATGGTAGGGATATACCGTGATATACCCATGCTACAAGAAGATACCCATGGGAACACAGCATGTAAACCGTAGGGATCAACTCTAATGAGAATCTGGCACATGATAGACTATCATATCTCACCCTAGGTAAATCGCCCTGCCAAACATGAGCTTTCGGCACTCATGAACAAAGGACATAATGTTCATTGCTTGTCTAGATGGTGTCCTTTTTGGGGGGTGGAAACTGACCTGAGACACCACTCATGAGTTGTTTAGTAATTTATTCTATTTCGGGAAACAGTTTTGGTTGCCGCGATACAAGTTCAACCATTCTCGTGTCCTGGGCAGTAGTTTCAGCCGCCCCTCCAGCGTTGTAAGCTTGCACACCTCGGCATCAGTGAAATCAGATGATGAGTTGCTAGTTCCAATCCTTTCCCAATATGGAAGAAAAGTTGGAAGCTCCAACCAAATGAAGCTGGTTCTTTGGGATCGTAGGGCCCGGAAATAGAAAACCCACCACCAAGTTTTCCATAGGAATAATTGAACAAGTCGAGCTGGGATGCCGAACCACATCATCCAAGGGTTCATCCAACTCAGCAGAAGGCGATTGCTCCTGCACTGGGTGGGTATTCCGAAATGGTAGAGTTTCGTACCTTCAACAGGAAGATCACTTCAGAAATGGCTGGTTCTTCAATCATCCTCCCCCAGGATGACTCGAAGACTCGAAGACTTACCACAAGCCTCCCGCTGGAGAACCATCACACCTCCAAAGATTGAAGTTCAGCTTTCAGCCTGCGTTTGGCACAACATGCAATCGTTGCACCAGTGGATATCCAAAGATCAGACACGAACTGGGCCAGTTCACTCATGATTTGGGACTTGAGAATTGGGTGATTTCCATGGTGATTTCCATGATGTCCATCCACATCATCCACCCGTTTGATGGCAGAATCGTTCCCAAAAAGCTGTGGTCTTGTAGGGGAAACCACTTGTTGGGGGTATCCCCTCTGTGCTGTATGGTAAAATCTGATCTTTGCCCACAAACCAATTTTGTTGAACAAATCCGTATATGTTTCGTTGATTAAATCCCCATTGTTTGTCGGTTTAAATTCCCATTTCTGTAGGTCAAGTCCCCAATGTTTCTTGTTTCAATCCAAATTTGCCTGAAAATCCCAGCGCTTTTTCTGAATTCAGAATCAAACCCCAGTTGGTTTTAATTTGGAAAAATCCCAGCGATTTCTTCTCGAACCCATCCCATGGCCTGCCCTGCGTCTCCAACAACTCCTCCCGGCTATCCAGGCGGCCGCAGCCACGACGGGCCAGGCGTGGGGGAGCTACACCTCGCCACAGAGACGTGGCGATCCACGACATGGAGAGCACATGGATTTCTACAACACTGATATGAAAACCCGCATGAAAAACCAGACGTGGGGATTCTTTGAGTTTTTCAGAGGGTTTCACTTTGTTCAAAAATGGGGCGCGCCCTAGAATTGGAATTAAGATTGGCAAAATGGTGAGAATCCTTTTGGAATTGGGGGTACCATGGGGTACCTATTTTCAGACAAACCCACATTATGGGGCTCAATTGGCTTAATCATCAAAGATGGACAAAATGGGGTACTGAACGAACTGTGAGTACCTGCTTCAATCCCAAAGATTGGATGGTTGGCAATGACAAGTCGTTCCCATGAAACAGCGGGCTCACCACTTTGAAGGGATTGTAGCTGAAAAAATACGGTGTCTCAAATGTTCCCACTTCACTGCAATGATCCCTTCCCCCACATAAACACCAGCCCAGAACCCCTGATTCAGTGGTGTATCTCTTCCCTTGGGGTTCCATTGTCTTTGGTGTGTTGACTGGTTGACGATTTCATCCCCTCCAAAACATATGAGTCAATTTGGATCAGGTAGCAATGGAATATTCTCTGTAAACATGAAACCAGCAACCAAATCATCAGTGACTAATGATCCTCGCCCCATTTCAATCGCTTTCTGATGGTAAAATCCGCATTTTGCCCATGGTTTTCATGGCATAAACAAGGGGAATGGCATTCTCCCCACGTCACCAAGGCACTCGCGGCCAGCTGCGCCAGTCGCTCGGCCACTTGGCTGCTGCGGCGCTCCAGGAAAGTTCTGCCAGGGAACGGTGGATCAATGATGGCATGATTTTGGATGTTTTTTATGGATGATTTGGATGCTCAAATCCAGCTCTTTTTTTTGTTGCACTATGCTGGGAATAGCTACAGCGTTGACGCTCGATTGTGTGAAGGCTGTAAGTGGGCAACACCTAGGGTTGCAACTGCCCAGTTCCACCGCAGTTCCGGTTGGAAATCTATTCATCCACATTAATCCACATTCATCCACCATCCCTCTATCCATCATTTATCCATTCACCAGTCATCAACCTTTTACCGGCCATTTCTCTCCATCATTGATCCAACATAGAATCTCAATTGACCATGACTCCACCAAGGACCAAGGAGCTCTTTTACCGGTGAGATGTTGCTACTGTCACCGCACTCAGCGGCGGGGGACCCCAGCCGACTGTCGGCCGGGTCCGGCGGGTGAATCTCCTGTACCAACACGTGGCTCCAGGAGTCGAGTGGGCCCAGACCCGCTTGAAAACACTAACTAAGTTGTGGATGGATGCTGCACTTCAGATCATTGGGATGTTGGGGATGGTCAACTGCTTGAAGCTACACACCGGCTCTGTAGGCACTGTAGTACGACTACTTCAGGTATGCCAAGTGGCCAAGTGGCCAAAGAACATGACCATCCATTGTGAGTGCATTGGTATCAATAAAATGCTTGTCATGTTGCTCAGTTGTGATACTACGCATTCCCTTCAGGGAATATAAATCATATACATTTGCACGTATACATATATACATACGTATATGTGTATATGTGTGTATTATACATACATTTATGTGTATGTATGTATGTGTATATATATATATATATATGTTGGGCATTAACTTTGAGTTGCTTTTTGGGAGTGGGTGATCTTTGAGACATTCCATGTGTGCAGCATCAGCATCCAGACACTAGCCCGTTGGGCGCAAAGTACTTCAGGATATTTGTGAAGGCTTTATGGACCTGGCGTCGCAACCCAGGTGGAACCATCATGGGAATCGATGCTCTGTCAGGCTCATGAGTTGGAGTGAATATTCTGAGACTCTGGGGGTCGGCTCTACATTGACTCTACATTTCCCTTGTCTTTAATGTACTATCCAAAATTTCGAGATAGCTTTCAAACCTCTGGAAGATGGGCTCTTGCCAAATATATCTTTGGAAATATGTTCAATCTCAAAAGAAATCCATGGATGTAGGCAGGCAAACATTGTTTTCCAAAAAAACAATTGACCTTGTGAACATCCAACTCTTGAGTTCCTTGCTCTGCATATGATTCCATATGTTGGGCCTATTCTTTGAATGGGTTTAGGGTTTGTTTTCGTTTCAGTGAATTTGTCTCATACCAATGAAGTCGGACCATTGGAGCCACTGAATCTGGCGGTCTTTGAAACCATTCAGACCATTCACATTTGCATCAACTGCACATCCGCTAGTTACCGCCAGCCTTTCACATTCAGTATCACGTGCCAGCCTTTTTCACCCAAAAGATCACCCTTTTCACTATTTTCACTATGATTTTCCACCAAACATTGGATGATTGAGGGTGGAAACCAACAGCTTGACCCTATCTTTCAAGTATCCAACCTGGCCAGCCACCTTCTTCAGCTCTTCCTCGCACATCTCCTCACAAGGGTGACTTGGGCGACAAACAAACCTGGATCGTTCTGCCTTAAGATGCTGACCCATGTCCTACATGCCCTACATGGCCTACATGGCGAAAAGTAAGTGTCATTCCCAGGTTCAGAATCTGCCATAGATCTGGTCAGTTAAACTACAGACTGGCAGGCTGCACGGTTGTTCACTATGAAACACCATCGGTTCGGGAGTGCCGTCCAACCTTTCCAAGATACAGCTGTCAAAATGTGGTTTCCCTCTGACAATCCAACATAGCCATGGAAAATGTATCGTTTCATATCGTTCCTACAGATATAAAAGTTGCCTCATACATACATAATCTGCTGCAGACTTTAAGTACATATGTATATATAATATACTGTATATAAATATCGATATGTATATTTACAATATTGTATATATATATATATTTATACATGTACACATTTATATATCCATGGTTTGCATCCTTTTCAACTAAGAAGAAGCCATTCACGGACCGCTCCTGTGCCATCAGTTGGAGAACACTCTTTCGCCAGGCCGATCGGCAGCTCGCGAAGTCTTGGAATGGAAAAAATGGGGAGGCGACTTCGGAGATGATCCGATTTTAGCAAATATATGATATATATATATATGGGTATGGGTCAATACCTATAGATACATTTTTAGTGGGATGAACATCCATTTACCAGCTATTTTGGGGTTCACTAGGTACCAGTGTTTTGACCCATCCCCATATATATATATACATACGTATAATATATGTGACATATGTGCCAAGTTGACCAACATAAATGATGTTTGGATATTTTTTCGGGGGTATTCAACCAACACTGGGGGTACAAACCCAACGTAGGGCATCATGGGATGTAACCAACAATATGATGTGGGTTTGTAAAAAAAAAAACAGGGATATATACACTGCAATGATAACTCCTATGGCACTTTTCAACGGGAAATTTGATTATAAACAAGTGGTTTCGGGGTATACGCACGCTATTGAATCCACATGAGAGACACCAACATACCCCACCTGAGATTGGGCAGATTGGAATTGCTATGGATTGCTTGATTACTGTACTGAGACTCACGTTTGCAATAGGAATTTTACCAGTGATTCAGCCTTTCTGGCTGCTGTCAGCCATGGTCTTTCATTCTACGTTCCCGGAATTCGGTTGCAATGATCTACACGATATCACAAGAAGTTACATCCTGGATACCTTGATTGTTTGCCCTGCATTTTGGAATGGTTCAGATGATCAAGATTGACTATGTTACCATGTTTGATCGGCGAACTCCTTTTTGTTCAGTGGTCAAATTCCCATTTGGATTGATTAAATCCCCACTTTTTGCGTGACCAACCCCATGTTTGAACGCAGCCGGTTGCTGTCCAGCCATAGCACTTGCTGTGGCATCAAGGCCCAATTTGTTCATGTCGCTGGCCACTTCTTGAGGAGCTACTGAAGCTCCTGGGCACAATTTGGGCCCCACAAAATTGGTCATGCTCAGCATTAAACTATCCATTCCCGGTTTTTCATCCTGGGAACCATGGCCATCTTCTGAAAAACAGAGGAAGATGGTCATGGCTGAAAAATAGACGACCATTGGACACAGCAAAGTGCTGTTAAGCCCCTGAGGATCACCTGAGCTCAAACTCAGTTGTAACGTGTGGTCCAAAAGTAATCATTGTCATGTTGACATGAAGTTGGTTAAAATCATGGCACATATCATCACATATCATATCCCATCCCAACTGCAGCTCTCTTCTTCAGTTTCTGGATCATGATATGAGGTATATGATCCCTCCGCCTTTGAATAAGCACCCAACAAAAGCTGATTCGGTATTGGATCCATTCATAGACCCCCCATATAGAGGAAATTCGTGGCGGGTTTCGCATTGCAGGCTATCGCTCCACAACTTACCATCAGGGGGATATCGGATCCACAACACCAGGGATTGGTACCCCGCCATCCCCGCAATCCCCGCAATCCCCGCAATCCCCGCCTTGCTTTTGCCCTGGCAAGGCCATCCCTGGCTTCAAAGCTGCGGATGGGACCAGGCGATCAACCAGGCCATCAGCACCCTGGCAGCTGGAAAATCATCGAACTGAATCGGCCATGTTCCATAGCACACGGTTAAAATACCTGAGGGTAGAAGATTGAGATTCCGGAACTTTAGAAGATTGTGGGATGTTTTTCTGTGATTCCAATAGGAATTTGAAGGGAAATCCTTAGGTCTGTTTCTCTATCGCCTCGATCTGGATCTCCACGGTGACTCCACTGTGGTTGATGCTTTTCACTTTCCCTGGCTGGTCCGGCATTTGCCAGGGCAACCCAATATTGGGACCATGGTGACCCACCATTTTGCTGAATCATCTTCTTTTCCATGATGGATTGACTCCTCCGACCTATTTTTCCAAAGACCTGCGAGGTTTTGAAACTTGCGAATTCTCCAAACCGTCAAATTCGCTGAGTTGGTCTGGGGTTGGGTAATCATGAGGGATCCTTGACCCAGTGGCAACTGCCACAAAATTCCGGAGTTTTCTTTGGACTTTGGACGAACTCGGAAAAAAAAAACTCCTGTACTTATTGCAGACTTGCCCCCCTTGGTAGTCCAACACTGCTGCCGCACCTTTGGTGCCATCTTCCATGCCTCGGTTCGGATGTGAAGTGTCAAACGGAACCACAACTCGGTTTCAAATCAGGTGGAAAGCCAGCAGAACTCGTTGCGGATCAGGGTCAAACAATTGTTGAGTGAACTAGTCGTCTGGACATTCACACACCAAGTATTCGAACTGTTGATGTAGTGGAACTATCAAACTATCACTTTGTGATAGTCCAGCTTCTGCTTTTGAAGGGCTGCGGATGCGCAGACTTGGATGATATATATATATATATTATATATATATATATATAGGCTTCATGACTGTCCTTTTCCGACGTGTGACTGCATGGTTTTTCAGCCTCGAGTGACATCTTGTCATCTCCAGGCTGCCACTGAACAAAAGTTTAGGTGGTTCATTCCACCTTCTGTGCCACTTGTTTCCATGGTAGGAAAACGGTTTCCTGCTGCCTCATGGTAGAGGCTTTCAACTCACAAAAACAGCAAAACTGGAAAAAGTCCTCATGGTAGAGGTTTCGAGTGAGCCGGTTTCCCTTCAAACTGGGGGGGATTACCAAAAAGGGTCGGGCCTAAGGACAAAACCTAGCAGAGCCCAAACACGTGCGGAGGCCAGCAAATCAGCCTATGATTCAAGCAGAAAACATAGGCTTCATGACTGTCCTTTTCCGACGTGTGACTGCATGGTTTTTCAGCCTCGAGTGACATCTTGTCATCTCCAGGCTGCCACTGAACAAAAGTTTAGGTGGTTCATTCCACCTTCTGTGCCGTTTCCTGCTGCCTCATGGTAGAGGCTTTCAACTCACAAAAACAGCAAAACTGGAAAAAGTCCTCATGGCAGAGGTTTCGAGTGAGCCGGTTTCCACGGCCCCTTTCTCTTGACTGGACTGCTGCAGTCCGGTCGACATGAAAAACTTGCTTTAATTAAGGCTCTCAAACGCTCTCGAAGCTGCATATCCGGGGACCACCTGTGAAGCATTTCTTTTGATTTTTGACTAAACCTCAAGCCCGGCAGGAAAGATAACCCATCAGCGAGGTATATTTTGGCTACTTTTGATGAATTCCACCTGCCTTTGAGCAATGCCTGTTCCATACTGCCGGTTTGTTGAAATAAAGCTGTCGCACCACCACGTCTAAGACTGTAAGGCCTGAACTCATGGCTCTGTAAGTCAAATCTTTTGATGTGATGGGCAAAAACCTTTCTGAAGCTTGAAGCAGATTTGGACCAAATGGGAACCTTATGAAGCCCCTGTTGATTTTTCATTGCCACTGCGGCGTGTAATGTCTCAATAGCCAGAAAAGAGGTGATGCTTACTGTCTCCTTTGCTGCGTTACGAAGTCCTGTCTTAGTGTCAGTAAGACTAATAACGCCAGTGTCAGGACCAAGCAAAAGGTCACAGGGGCGAGACTGTAGTAACTCCCCGGTGCGTAATAACCCATAAAATCCCAAACACAACATTGCAGCGAACTCCAAGTCACAGTGACTGATGGCATACATAATCCAAGCGTCAATGATTTGAGCTGTCAATGGAGGTGCTCTGTTTGGGGATTCAAGTTTTCGCCAGACTGAAAAGACTTTCCAAGCTTGTGGCAACCCTTTCCTGGTCCAAGGTTCAAAATGATGAATGCCGCACAGTGCGTCGCGAGTCTCCCCGCTCCCAGCAACTCTGTATCCAGTCAGAAACCTTTTCATCCATATCCATGAGATTGGAACTCCTTTCCAAAACTGGTAAAATAGCTGCCAAACCATGGTAATAACGCTGTTGGGTTTTGAGGGTGATCCCAGCGTCCCGCAGCACGATGTTAGCTCGTTGCTGAACTCTTTCAGCGCGGGTGCGGCGCGCACAAAACGTCCACTTGACGGGACGCTTCATCCGTTGGATTTTCACTCGACTCCACGTGCGCCACTATCATGGCGATGCCAAACCCTAGTAGCCATGCGTTCATCTCTTTCAAGAGTTTTCCCAAACGTTTGCTACCTGTACGACCCTTTGCAAGTATAGACATGGCAACAAAACTGTCGGTAACATGAAAGAGTCTTATGTGGCATCTGTTGTTATGAAGGACCTGAAACTTGAGGGCAAGGAAAATTGCACGGAGTTCCAAACTGTTGATGTGTTCACTCTGACACCACTTTGTTTTGAAAATAGGGAGCCACTTCCACCATCCCGCTTGTATTGATTGTCTTGTTACCGCTTTTGGACTGAGAATTTGACCAGTAGTGATGCGAATGTCAGACCCCGTATGATTTACTTTTGTAAGAAGAAATTGATTGAGTTGTTGAACAGAATACGGTACCCCCAAATCTCGAAGTCCATACTGCAGTTGTCTTCCTAAAGGAGCTTTAAAAGCAATTGGTGCACAGTATCCTGGAGCTAACCCCATCCTGTCAACTAGATGTTGATATTGAAGTACTGGTAGGAAGTCTCGTGCCATGCAATACGCTGGAATCACAAAGGAAAATATGCTGAAACTGTCGCCCAACAAGGATAACATCTCATCATGATATTTTTCCACATTGCTTTTGATGGTAGATGCGCTCATGCAGAGCGAGGTGTGTCCAGCCCCATATCCCAGTAGGATTTCTTTTTCCCCTGCATTGCAAAGTCGCCACTGGTTTCCTGTCCAGAAAATAAAACGTTCTTGGTAATGGTATGGAGGGAACCTGTAACTGTCAGCAGTCCAGCGGGCAATTGTGTCTGAGTCACATCTTTCCAAACCTGCTGGCCGTGGGGGTGGCTGTCTGCGTTTTATGCTTTTCATGGCGGTTGGCAGCACATGCCCAGCCTCCCCTCCGGGCCATAGTGTTCCCTCCGTCAGCCATTGTTCATGTTCGGGATACCCAGATGAAGCGGTCACTTTTATCCAGTATCTTTCTTCAGTGAACACCAGGTCAGTGGGGCCAGCCTCCAACTCTTCCGAAGACCAGCATAGTCTAGGACGTTGCATTGGAACAGCATCACTACAGTTCAACCAGTATGGGCGCACTCCCAAGGCAGCTGTGATCTTCTCACATTCAGCACGGTCCATGGATGCTACATTTTCCGCAGTGTATTTGACTGTCACATGGTGTGGGGCCTCATCCTCCAGAATCTTTTTGATCCGCACAACTTCCCAGAATAACGAAGAAGCGGGCCCTTCCAAACCTTGCCCGTTGGCCTTTACTCCAGAAAGATCCGTACATGGAAACCCAGCCCACAGATGTATCTGAACCAGGGGCACGTATTTTCTGAACCAGCCCTGCACCATCTCAGCTGTTACCTGCCTCACATCGCCAAACAGCTCAGCATGAGGCCATCTTTTCCCTGTCACACGTTGTGCTGGTCCATGTGTGTCAAAACATATTGCTCCCACTGGCACGATTCCAAGAATATCATAACATCTCAGTGCACCCCCTATCCCATTGAAAAGAGACACAATGAGGATGGGGGCTTTTCGAGGCCACAAGTCAGAAAACATTGCTGCAGTGAAATCTTGCCCTTCCGTTGTCAGTTCTCTGCTTACACCAATCGCACCGCCCTTGTTTGAGGCATCACTGGCTGTGATGTCTGTGGCAATGGGGGCTCCCAGAAACGTGTGCAACAAGGGAACCAGCGCCATACTCGTGAACAATTCCCTCTTGACGCTCCTCACCAGTTCCAAATGAATCCCTTTTGCGCTGATGAACTTCCAGGTGTCATCCAAACAGGCCATGGCAGGTCTACGGAATTGAAAAACATGCACCCATCTTCCGGCAATAATTTGTAATAGTTTCTTTGAAAGATGTGGTCGACTCAACAAGAAAAGGGTAGCATGGATAAGTTTGAGGAAACGTTCTGGTGAACCCCCAATAGTCCGGTTAGTCCCATCTATATGAGCACCTAACTCCTGAGCCTCAGTTTCAGCCCGTTTTCGTTTCTTGTCAGAGGATATCACTTGAGCTTCAGCCCAGGCTTTCTCAGCCAGCTGATGTAACACCTCTCCGCCTTCAAAGGTGTCGCCAACTGGAGCCACTTCCCCCGCAGCAAAATTGTCCAAATACACATGCCAGAAAGTTCTACCCTGATTGTTTGCTTGTTTGATAACCCCGGTAACCCACAGTGGTAAAGGCAAACCCCTTATGATCTGATTGTGTGACCCCAGACCGCCAAACTTGAGGATATTGTCGCTCGCTTCTTGCATAAGAGAAACTGAGTTTGACCATCCCATGGGTAATACCGCGCATGATAAAGCATACCAGTTGTTGTTGGGTAAACCAATATCAAAGCCCCTTCTCTTCACGTTGAAAGACAACAGTGGTGACCAAATAGGTGGAAGTGCAAAGAGATAGAACGCATTGGACATGTCAGATTGCCATACCCGAACTTCATGACCTTCCTCAACCACTATATTCATCCATGATGTGATTTGCGGTAAGGTTTTGACTGTACCCGGGAACTCCTTGACAATGGAATTAGAAGGAACCAGATTCATGATTAAACGCAGAATAGGTTGTTGTCCAGGCTGTTTACCAGGTTTTTCCACTCCAAACAAACCATTGAGAACCTTCTCTCCCCGGAATTCCAAAACATCATCCAAAGGTGTCCAACGGCAAACTCCCCTTCTTACCAACTCATCTGCAATCGCCTCCATTTCACCTTCATGCGCATGAATTTTTCCTTGCAATTTAGGAAGTTTCTGTCCTACATCCTTAACCACATTCTTCATGGGGTTGGAAAGGAAATCAACTGAGGATTGAGAAAGAAAACGACAAAGGTCAATTGAACCTCCATGTTCACAAGGTGGCAACGCAGGCAAAACCTGTTGTAGGGAAAGTTTATGACACGTACCTACTTCTTCTCCAACATAGTTAACCCTTCGGCCACGCAATTCTTTTTCAACCAAGGAAGGGTCGATGTCCATGGCTAGGTCGTGCGCGGTCAATCGGTCAGGTCAATCGGTCAACTGACCTCCGCACTGACTCCACTAGTCTCCGCTCAGCCTTGCACCAGCCCATCGCACGCAGGGGGCCAACGGCGCCGGCTAAGCAGTTCAACGCGAAGCAAGCCACGAGGCACCACGCCTCTCTTCCATGAAGTTGGAAAAAGGGCTCCTCACGGATTGTTTCCAGAGGAGTGACTTGCAAAAGCCCGACCAGGTGGCTAAAATCCCCCAAGCTCACAGGTAAGGCCAGACGAGCTCGTCGGACCTTGGGCCACACGCCGGTATGAAAAATGGCATCCAAAAGGTGTCTGTTGTTGTGGGCTGCGGCCGCACGAGGAGCGTTGACCATCCACCAAGCAAGGACGCAACCAGAGCTCCCCAAGGTGCGGCACGACCGCCAAAGGTCAGCCACCTGGAGCTCACGGAGCGCCAAGAGAGGGCTGCTTTCGGCGCAGGCCAGCAGCGTCCCCTCATCTGCTATTTTGGAGGGTCTGGCTTCTCCTGGCTCTTCGTCCAGTCCGAAGCGGCTCTCTCGTGATTCTGCCAGCCCTTTCCCTTTCCTCGGCCTTTGCTGTCGGCCTTTCCTTTCTTTCCCTTTCCTGTGCTTTCGCCCCCATAGCTCCAATCTCCTTTTCCTCTGCCGCGTCCTTTGCCGCCCCATGGAGTCCACGTTGTAGTCCCTTTGCCCTGCACGCGATCCACCAGTTTGCTGTGCTTTCGAGTTGCAAGGACCATGCTGCTGGAGGCGGCGGCGGCATCCTCTAACGGAAAGAGTTCCATGTGCCTTGCCGCCCCACAATTTTGGTCCAGCAAACTCTGATGTATGGCGATGAACCTCGCCGACAGTGCATCGCCCACTCTCGCTACATCTCCTCGGCGAAGGAGGTCCACTGCAGCAGCGAGGGTATACATTTCCCTCAGTTCCTTCTGGTGGGAGGCATAGGCGCTCTTGATATGTTGATGGAAATAAGAGACCACCTTGACCCCGCTTGTAATCTTCTTCTGCTCGTCCGGGATCTCGAGGGCTGCATCCTGTTCCATCTGTGCCTTGATGTGCTCGATCAGCAAGGCCAGGATGCTTCCTGGCTTCTCTCTCGACTTCTTCTTCATTGGTGCTTCCAGGTCGGATGAGGTACTCTCCTCCTCGGCTTCCTGATCCTCCGAGGTGCTTCCTGAAGAGTTCGAAGAGCTCCTGATCACTCCACCTTCGATCCTCCTCTTCTTCCTCTTCTTCTTGTCTTTCTTCTTCTTTTTCTTCTTGTCTCCTTTGTCCTGACCTAGAACTCCGCGTAGGGCATCTTGTAGGGTCTGCAAAGCTCCCTCCTTCTTCTTCTTCCGCTTCTTGTCGCTGTGACGCGCACGGTTCAAGGCCAGCGCTTGCTGAGCTAGTTGACCACTCCATGTCCTCATAGAACCGCCGTTTGTACCCTTGTATGGGACTACGGCTCCTGTCTTTTCGATGGGGCCCTTGGAGCGTCGCCCATGGCTCTCCTTGGGATTGCCCTTCATGTTCGAGCCAGTTGTCAACAAGTCGGAAGGTGCATAGCCTGAACTGTCGTCCTCCGCACCATCTCCTCCACTCTCCTCGGAGCCGGATCCCACCACGTCCGGCAGGGGTTCATCCTCTCCAACTTCGTGGTGACGCTTGCGTACTTCTTTCAACCTTTCTCTTAGCTTCTCTCTCTTCTCCGCATCGAGCTCGGCGTCGTCCTCCTTTTTCTTTGTGTCCTTCTTTCGGCCATCCCGGACCTCTCCAGCGGCCGTCTTCTTGCGATCTTTTGTCTCTTTCGTGCCCGGCGTGGCGCCAGCACGTGGAGATTTGGGCTCTCGAAGGGCACCCTTGCGGGGGGCTCTCTTGGCTGTTGCGCTCTTCTTCACCCCAGCAATCCACTTCTTGAGCTCCTTGTAGATCTTGGCGGTGACATAGTCGGCCTTGAAATTGTCTGCTGTCCAGGTCCTCAAAATGGTGGCATGAATCACACCTGGCCCCCTGGACTCGCCTGGCATTTCGACGCAAGGCTGACTGCTGCATAGATGAAGGTAACCCAAACGGCTCCCAAAATGAGCTTCTATGCCAGCTGAAACCTCTGCGTTCTCGGCGCCCATGAACCGGACATTGAGATAGATTGATCCATCCACATTGTACTCGGCCTCGTGGGTGAAGAAAGCTGCCCATGTTTCTTCGAACACTGGCAAATTGGTTCCTGCTAAATCGACCTCCACAATTCCACCCTTTGGGGGGTTGAGGCCACTCCATGCCTCCTTGTCGTAGATCTCAACAGTGCTCCCGTCTCCGAACTCTGCCATCTCAACGGCCGAGCCGGCCTAGGTCCGTCGCCCCAGGCTGAGATGAAGTGAGTTCTAAAACGGATCCACCAAGCCTGCGATGAACTGCTTTGTTCGGGTCCAAGGCTAACCTGTGCAACCTCTGATGCTTTCTTCCACCTCGTCGAGTGGTACCTCGGTTCTTCTTCCGGCCTGAGTGATTATGTCCTGACTCGTGCCTCTTGGTTGATGACCTTTTGCTGCCAGCGGTGTCTTCACGACCCTCTGCACGGCTCAAGGTTGTCCCAATAGACCTCAATCCAGGAGGCGGGCCGTCCGGCTCAGGGGGACGCCTGTCCGTACCGTGGGACTTCCTGATCGGGGTGCGCGACCGGGCCTGTCGGCGCCGCCGTTCAGCGTCCTCCTCGGACTCTGACCCTTCCTCACCTGCGCTTTCCTCTTCCTCCTCCTTCGGGGGGACTGCGTCTCGGCTGCGCCTACGAGGGAGGCTCGACCTGTGGTCAGCTCGCTCGCGAGAAGGTTCCCTAGGACGCGCAGCGGGAGGCCCAGCGCTGTCCCGGGGACCTTCCAGTCGCGCAAGGCCAGCAGATAAAGACCTCAAGGCACGGATCTGCCGGGCACAATTGATCACCAGATCACTGGCCAGCAATCTCGCGCCCGGGCTGTCCCACCCCGCGGAGAGTTCTCGGCCTATGGACTCCCAACAGGAGCAGCCGAGACACCAACTATCCCCCTCGTTGGCCGGCGAGTTACGGCACTTATTGCAAAGAGGGGGAGGCATCCAAAATCCTAAGGACAAAACCTAGCAGAGCCCAAACACGTGCGGAGGCCAGCAAATCAGCCTATGATTCAAGCAGAAAACATATATATAATTATATATTATATATATATAATTATATACATATAAATCAAAGGTGGTTACCTTGTTGGGTGAGTTATAATGCAAAGCGACTGCAACTACTTGAAAAATGCAAAAACAAAATACGGGAGCAGGCCCATCTGTCCATGAGGTGGTTGAGGAAAGTGGGGAAGCGTGCGGTCTTTCCATCCATCTTGCTACGCCCTAAAGTAAGTGAATGTGTACAACACAAATTTCTGGGGTCAGTGTGTGCAATACAAATTTCTGGGGTCAGTGTGGGCGGGGTAAATCATGTTGACACCATCAGCCGTGCTTTAGTGCTGCGCCAGGTTACGCACCCTGGATCCCTTCTTGAAGATCATCGATGTGCCTCCGCAGTGAGGATAGGTGAAATTATTTGTGTGATTTTCCACCAAGAGAGCCAGCAAAGCAATCCAAACATAGCGAAACCATCAACTTCTTGCTTTTTGGAAATACAGTGTCAAGATGGCAAATTGCAAACTATCCTTCAGTGGTTTGCTTCCTCCAGCTGCCTATTTTGTCCAGCGACATTCGATGATATTCATGGCTAGACTTCAGCGGTGGATCCCGGCCGCGCCTACTTCCGGCATCCTTTGGAGCAGACCATCAGGGAGATCTGGCTGTCCTTCCATCGGCTCAAAGCCTGGCACAGCTGGATGTGCATCCCAAGGGTCCCAAGTGGACAACCGAAGTTCTAAGCCAGTTATTTTATGGTATCGACTCCAGTTAACACTGGCCGGATATCTGGATAGTCCCTTTCAAACCACCTCTACTTAGATTTTGTACCGAATTAGTAAGTGGTTACAACCTGTATTATATGTAAAGTCAGCTGGACGCTCCACTGCCGAGCCTCCCAGAATCTGGCCAGAAGAGTCTTGCCTCGCATGTGCAACCGTCGCATGTAGAAGTTTGTTGAACAGCGAGGGTTTTTCTCTGATGATGATGCTGATGCTGATGCTGAAGATTATGATGGTGGTGATTAACTGGTATGATGAACAGCGATTGTGGTTGCGATTCCAGTTTCAATTCAGCATCCAAGCTACCAGGAGCCGTCCACAGTCTGCGTGGCCATGGCTGTCGCTGACGTTCCACTCATCAGCTGCATCAACACATCGCCTGTGCGGAAAGTCAAGAGATAGAATCTAGGTCAGTAGATGAGGACTTAAACCTTGGCGCAATCATCTTCCAATTTGTGCTGCGCAGCGTGATGTTTCAACTGGTACTGTGTTGACGTCTCTGTAGCTGTCTTTATGTTGTCAACTGCACCGAAGGGTTGTCAATCAGGACCTTCAATGGTTAAGCCCGAACTAGTGAAAGCAGCATAGAAATCAAATGATTCTCAACAAGGATTGGCTCATTTGGGGGTATGTGGGGTACTACCATAGATAGTATCGGTTTATCGTCCCCATCACCACTTCCGAGACAGTGCCTTCCCTCAGGCTCACTGCGGCCCAGCGCCCTTGATCCTTGCAACACAGGGTTCCACCAGTTCCACCGTTTGCAAACGAAGCAAACGGCCAATATCGGCCAATCATAATTTTCCCCAGATCTCGCCTGTATGGGCGGGTATGAAGTACAACTGGGCGGGCCGTTCGATTCACTGTGGGTACCAAACACTACTGCTGTGGGTTAAACAGAACAAATCCTTGAACTGTGATATTTCACCCAACCTTGAGTGCGGATCAGAATTGGGAACGCCCCAATTGGATCCAAATGGGCTGTTTAGCCCAGAACGTAATATTGAACCACACCAATACCCACTTGAATGCAGGCAGCTGACCCTCCATAGGCTTGTAAAACCAGAGCCATGGTTTTCAACCTTGTTGTGATGGGTGTGTCGAAAAATGGGCCAAACATGTTAATGGGGAACAGAATCATAAGCCACTAGATTTTGGGGTAAAATGGCCCCTGATTGGAACCAAACTTATGTTGACATGTGGGATGCTAAACAGCTGAAGCCAATGCAGAGTATTCAAGCAACAGTAGCACCAGTACAACAGAAACGGGTGGCGTCAAGATCCAAATCTTAAAATAAAACAACTAAAAATCCTCCAGTAAAGTACTACCCCAAGGAGAAGTCCCTTTATTTGCCAATGATTACAGCCAAAAAAACAGCGGCCCCATCCGTCCTGATACAGGAATGTCTCCAGTGCCTCATCCCAGTAGGTCGGCTGATCCGAGAGCATCACCTCAATAGGGGCGATAGGAACCAACCAAAAGTGGGAACATAACTATGGGTTTGGTGCTGCCCAAAAAAGAATTGACTATCAGAAATCTCCCAATTTGGCGGGTTTGAACCAATCAACCAATGAGAGCTTCAGCAAATTCATGCACGGAGGATGCTTTGCTGCTTGATGGTCTATATAGTATAGACTATAGAAGCCAATCCCGAAATTGGCCAGTCAATGTCACTTCATAATTCTGCATCACAAGATCATGAGTGAATGCAACGTGCACGCAATGCATGCAAGTATTGTGTATCACTTAACACACCTGCAATCCAGGATTTACTTTGATGGTACCTCCAAAATCAAAGTATTCCCAGTTGATTCCGAGGTGGTGGATTGTTCCAGCAAATCCAGGTAGCGCATGTCAGTCATATACGTTTACTGAACTTACACGCGGTGCATTGCATACATGTAGACTCTCTCTTCAATATATATATATACATACATACACAATAACTATTTACATACACAAACATACACCTAAACACAATATATATATATATATATATAACTGTATATGTATATGCACATGCCATCCCTTGAGTCGTTACTCAGTGCCCTCAGTGAGCCTCAGTGACTCACCTGAGCATCACAACAGCATAACTCCGTCGGAAGGTGGCATTCAGACAGTCGTTGACAAAGCCCTTGCCTCTGATCAGCTCGCACCTTGGGATCTGCGATCCACTGAGGACAGAAGGACTGCGGGACTGATTGAGTGCAGGTGATGATGATTTAAATTGGATGTCCCAACTTGCGAGTTGAACCAATAATGATGGGAATGTGTCCAAGTGGAAAAAAATGTAAGTATGTAGTCATGAGAAACAGGATATGCATAACGGACAGTGAGAACGGTGCATCTAATCAGCAGCAACATGGATAGGTAGCCAACAGTTAGGGCCATTATATCAAGTTCAGGCTCACCTCTGCACTTTGGGCAAATCCACTGATAAACCCTCCTGAGGGGTCAGCGAGAATGGGTCACGCTTTGAGTTCCTGCAGCGTTGCTTCAGTACAGGTTCTGTTGGAGTAGTTTTTCAGTGAGACATCTAGGGGGCCTGGAGACAAATATAGATGGATGGATAGATGGATGATCATATAATCTATATATATATATAGATAGATAGATAGATAGATACGTACATGATAGAGAGACAGATGTGTATCCTATACATATACAAGGGCTCACACTCGTTCCTCTTTTACTTCCGAGACCTCAACTTCGTACTTGTACACCATATAACAATATAGATACAATGGTACACATAACAATCATCACTTATGTAGATCTGCGTGTTTGTCTCAGCATTTTTAATGCCACAAATGCTGTTGCCGAATCTCCTGTCATCCGCCATCTCAGGCGACTCTGGAGGCCTCCAGGTTGGGCAAATATGGGGGATCCGATGAGGTCGAAGGCGGGTGAGTCATAAGGGCCCGGAGTTTGTACAGTGATGATCCCAAACGTCCAACTGGAAACTGTGACATGGGCCATAGGGCCACCATTTGCCAGTTTCAAAGTGTATCCATGTTGAATGCTCAGCTTAAACCATGGTCTTCAACTCAAAATATTCAAGCATTCAAGCTGCTTTGATAATTGCAAACAAATGAACTTTCACCAAGTAACCCACCGAAACAATCCAACAATCCCTCCCTTCTGCCAAAGCCTCAACAACGCTTTTCGAGGTGGGGAGGAAGGTGACGAGACAGGCGAAGTCGGTGACTGCGATTCCGCCGGCGGAGTGTCTGCAGCCAGTTCAGCCTCGTGATCCTCCTTAGTCTTCGGCTTGGGCCCCGAAGTTGGAGTTGGGCGCCGTGGCATGGCCTTGGCCTTGATTTTGGCCTTGGGCATCATCAACTGAAACAGCTGACACCCCTCAGCTTGCTCCGAGCCCTTCTCTCTCGGTTCTTCTGGTGCCAGCTCAGCTGACGGCTCAGCCGATGGCGCTGGTGGCTCCGCTGGGTGCCGACGGCGGCGGGGCAGCGGCGTGCGGCTGCGGTTGGTCCACTTGTGGCCCAGAACCACTTTGGCGCCGGGCTGCTGCGATGGCTGCGATGGCTGCGATGGCTGCGAAAGCTCTGGCTGGGGTTCCGATGCCTTGCGATCGAAGAATCCTGAGCTCTGGCAGCTCAAACCCTTCACCTACAGGTGGATTACCCCCTGATGACTTTAGGACGTGTCCTCTGGTGTACCTGGCAGAATTTACAAAAAGTGGAAAATGCTAAAGTAACATATGACTTAGGACTTTCGGTGTCGGCTCTTGATTCGGGACCTAGGACCATGAATTAACATCAGTCTTTTTCGTTTTGTTTTTGGCTTTTTAGGGGGTATACAGGTATAGGTATACATGTGAAGATTCGTGAAACATAAGCGTGCCGAATATGGAAAGATTCAGAACGTCTGAAATCTTCTGGGGATTATCTTGCCTTACCTGGTTTCCATAAAATCTGACTGATGACTTGGGAGTTTTGAGCACTTTGACACTTTGTGTAGGAGCTGATGACACCGGAACAATACATTTTGACTATACTTCCGCAATCTTCCGCAAAATCCTTAGTCATCAGAGCCTAGTATGTGTTCATATCCTTCTTGTGCCTGAACAACAGATTTCGATATCATCACCCCCACAGCTCACGTGAAATCATCTTCTGATTGTGGTGGTGAACTTGCGATTGTCCCAAACAAGCCAGCGCATTGGTCGCAATCAGCAGTCAATTTTTGCAGCTGTGTGAAGGGTTCCACCAAGAACCTCCAAAAACCACACACCTGTCTTAAGCTGTCAGGACGTGTCCCCACATTTCAGCATCTTCAAATGAGGATTGGTTTTCCAAGAGGGTTCTACAAAGACCCCGAAATGGTCCTTGCCAAGAAGCCAGTGGCGCGGCCAGCAGCACTGTACACACGCGAGGATCCTGTAACAGGCTCCGGTTCAAGATTGAACTGGTGGTCAATGGGAAACTACCACTTGTAATCCACTTGTGATCCCCAGAGTTTTTGGGATTTATGAATGCCGCTCCATGACTGGGATACGTCATCTTCCTTCCATGCTTACAGCATTTCATTGAAATCCTCACAAGCTCAGCCCGCAAGGCAGTTTTTGTTGCCCCTTTCTCCCTTTCTTTGGCCAAGATACCAACAGACTTGGCCGGTGCGGCAGCATTCTCATCCTCGCGATCAGCCTCCTGATAGGCCCATGCCCTACTTCACTGGTCATCCCACTTCACAAGTGGACACGAACCTTCAATGACCTACATATACAACTGGGCGATTTGGGAATATCCCATACAGAAAGAGATCGTATGCATGGGCATGAACCAGATGGCACCTGGCATGCAAATATTTGAAACCACGGTCTGCTGAAAAAATTGGGCCCCGGCCCCAGAGGCAGATTACTTCAATCAGAAACCACCAAAGCTGAAAGAAATCACCGTGACTTTGGCTGCTATTTCGGTCCTTTTCCTGCTCCTTCCAGTCCTTCTGGCTCGCATGGTGCCAAGGATGAGTTTCGGAGCCTTGGCGAGTTTGCAGAAGCCGAACGCCGCATGGCAGTCACATATTGTCACGTGACATGTCCAAACTCTTGTTGGAGTCCCAAAACTGATCAAACGAAACACTCCTACGGCATTTCTGTGACGTCCAGACAAAGTCTTTGTAAATGTGGACAGCTGTTGGTCACTCCAGACCTGATGTTTGAAAAGGGTCTGAGTCCAAGATCCAAAAAAGTACATCAAGGAAAAGTGTGGAATGGTGGATACCCATCGAAGCTTAGCTCCTACTTGCACGAGCAAAGAAGCCCCTGCTGCCCCATTCTCCCTTTCTTTGGCCAAGATGCCAGCAGGCTTGGTCGGTGCCACAGCAGGTTCATCCTGATCGAATCCACTAGCCATCAGACATTAGGCCCATTCCCTACTTCACTGGTCATAGTGGACACGAACCTTCAATGACCATCAATGACCTACATATACAAGTGGGCAATTTGGGAATATCCCATACAGAAAGAGATCGTATGCATGGCCATGAACCAGATGGCACCTGGCATACAAATATTTGAAGCAACTGTCTGCTGAAAAAAATTGGGCCCCGGAGGCAGATTACAATCAGAAACCACCAAAGCTGAAAGAAATCACCGTGACTTGGGCTGCGATTTCGGTCCTTTTCCTGCTCCTTCCAGTCCTTCTGGCTGGCGTGGTGCCAAGGAGTTTCGGAGCCTTGGCGAGTTTGCAGAAGCCGAACGCCGCATGGCAGTCACATATTGTCACGTGACATGTCCAAACTCTTGTTGGGGTCCAAAAAATGATCAAACGAAACACTCCTACGGCATTTCTGTGACGTCCAGACAAAGTCCAAAAAGAGCGTACTCGTGGGGATCCGTGTAAATGTGGACATGTCTCTTTTGATCTCCAAAGCATTCCAAGGCGGTGCTTCAAATGTTCAGCTGTTGGTCACTCCAGACCTGATGTTTGAAAAGGGTCTGAGTCCAAGATCCAAAAAAGTACATCAAGGAAAAGTGTGGAATGGTGGATACCCATCGAAGCTTAGCTCCTACTTGCACGAGCAAAGAAGCCCCTGCTGCCCCATTCTCCCTTTCTTTGGCCAAGATGCCAGCAGGCTTGGTCGGTGCCACAGCAGGTTCATCCTGATCGAATCCACTAGCCATCAGACATTAGGCCCATTCCCTACTTCACTGGTCATCCCACTTCACAAGTGGACACGAACCTTCAATGACCTACATATACAACTGGGCAATTTGGGAATATCCCATACAGAAAGAGATCGTATGCATGGCCATGAACCAGATGGCACCTGGCATGCAAATATTTGAAGCCACAGTCTGCTGAAAAAATTGGGCCCCGGAGGCAGATTACTTCAATCAGAAACCACCAAAGCTGAAAGAAATCACCGTGACTTTGGCTGCTATTTCGGTCCTTTTCCTGCTCCTTCCAGTCCTTCTGGCTCGCATGGTGCCAAGGATGAGTTTCGGAGCCTTGGCGAGTTTGCAGAAGCCGAACGCCGCATGGCAGTCACATATTGTCACGTGACATGTCCAAACTCTTGTTGGAGTCCCAAAACTGATCAAACGAAACACTCCTACGGCATTTCTGTGACGTCCAGACAAAGTCCAAAAAGAGCGTACTCGTGGGGATCCGTGTAAATGTGGACAGCTGTTGGTCTCTCCAGACCTGATGTTTGAAAAGGGTCTGAGTCCAAGATCCAAAAAAGTACATCAAGGAAAAGTGTGGAATGGTGGATACCCATCGAAGCTTAGCTCCTACTTGCACGAGCAAAGAAGCCCCTGCTGCCCCATTCTCCCTTTCTTTGGCCAAGATGCCAGCAGGCTTGGTCGGTGCCACAGCAGGTTCATCCTGATCGAATCCACTAGCCATCAGACATTAGGCCCATTCCCTACTTCACTGGTCATAGTGGACACGAACCTTCAATGACCATCAATGACCTACATATACAAGTGGGCAATTTGGGAATATCCCATACAGAAAGAGATCGTATGCATGGCCATGAACCAGATGGCACCTGGCATACAAATATTTGAAGCAACTGTCTGCTGAAAAAAATTGGGCCCCGGAGGCAGATTACAATCAGAAACCACCAAAGCTGAAAGAAATCACCGTGACTTGGGCTGCGATTTCGGTCCTTTTCCTGCTCCTTCCAGTCCTTCTGGCTGGCGTGGTGCCAAGGAGTTTCGGAGCCTTGGCGAGTTTGCAGAAGCCGAACGCCGCATGGCAGTCACATATTGTCACGTGACATGTCCAAACTCTTGTTGGGGTCCAAAAAATGATCAAACGAAACACTCCTACGGCATTTCTGTGACGTCCAGACAAAGTCCAAAAAGAGCGTACTCGTGGGGATCCGTGTAAATGTGGACATGTCTCTTTTGATCTCCAAAGCATTCCAAGGCGGTGCTTCAAATGTTCAGCTGTTGGTCACTCCAGACCTGATGTTTGAAAAGGGTCTGAGTCCAAGATCCAAAAAAGTACATCAAGGAAAAGTGTGGAATGGTGGATACCCATCGAAGCTTAGCTCCTACTTGCACGAGCAAAGAAGCCCCTGCTGCCCCATTCTCCCTTTCTTTGGCCAAGATGCCAGCAGGCTTGGTCGGTGCCACAGCAGGTTCATCCTGATCGAATCCACAATAGCCATCAGACATTAGGCCCATTCCCTACTTCACTGGTCATCCCACTTCACAAGTGGGCACGAACCTTCAATGACCTACATATACAACTGGGCAATTTGGGAATATCCCATACAGAAAGAGATCGTATGCATGGCCATGAACCAGATGGCACCTGGCATGCAAATATTTGAAGCCACAGTCTGCTGAAAAAATTGGGCCCCGGAGGCAGATTACAATCAGAAACCACCAAAGCTGAAAGAAATCACCGTGACTTGGGCTGCTATTTCGGTCCTTTTCCTGCTCCTTCCAGTCCTTCTGACTGGCATGGTGCCAAGGAGTTTTGGCGCCTGGATCCAGTTACCCATTCACCCAGTTGAACACAATCACCGATCACTGGAAGATGCACTTGTCAGGAATCTCTTTGGTTGCAAAGTAATGACTCCCTTAAAATCAATGGACTGATTTTAGTCTGGAAAGGTTGGTATGTTCAATTTCCAAGATCTGACTCTCATCACACTGCCAGACGCGTTCAACTTTTCCACTAACAACATAATCGCATGATCCACCAAATTCACCAAATGCCATGGCATGTCTGGTAGCCAAAAAAAAATGATTGAAATGATTGAACCTACTTAGCAACATACCATGGGGTGCCTTTTCGGTCGCTTTGCCAGCCTGTAGAGCTCAGAAAAGGCTCCCCAGGGCCATCTTGGGTCACACCAAAACGTTTGAAGAATCGAAAGCTCAGAAACCACCGTTAGATACAAGAATCTGTGTTCAGATAACCGAATGCACAAATTTCTGTGTTGGGACGACCATCTAATCTAGATGCAATGCCAAGTTCAACATATGTGATTTGGCCAAGTTTCTAGAAGACCTACCCATATCTCCCCATTGTGTCCCTTGTTGCTGTTGATCTGTACACCCAATAGGCCAAGGCGCTTGGCTCAGGTGGCACGACTGCTGGCGGCGGCGGCGGTGGTGGTGGCGGCGGTGGCAGCGCCGCCGGCGGAGGTGTCGTCGGAGGTGGAAGCGGCGGAGGCGGCAGCGGCTTCAGCGATGGCATCGCGGGTGCCTCCGTCTTTTGTCGCTTGGCCTCACGTTCCTTGTCCTCGTCCTTGATCTCCTGGAGGGTATTGCCGAGAGCCTGTGAAGACTGATTGGTCAAAAATGAATTCGGTTTTTCAGATCTCGTGGTTTCATGGTAAGAAAGCATGTCAAATTTCTTCATGCATAACAAACAACCATCAGCTAATCAGGGATGATCGCGCTGCACAGTTGTCCTCCTGCTTCTTTTTTTTGCGTGGCGTTTCTTCTTCCTTCCTTTCTTGGTCCCTTTTCTTCTCCTGTGCGCAAATGGGGTAGCCATGGACAGAGGATAATCAAGACACCAACAATCTACCAAGTGATCTGGATCAAGTCCTTTGTAATATGAGCAGGAGCAGCAGAAAATGGAAATACGATGGGCTAACAATTACAATTTATTCATTAGAAACTGGGAACCCATTGTAACCAAACATGGAATGTGAAGTATCAAAGCAGCCGGGCAAGATCCGTTTGAGCAAGAATATCCTCCAGAGTCATTGATATGGCGGTGGAAGATCCCCATGGTGATATCAAGATAGATTCGGCGGTTGGTGAATTGGAATTTTCACAAGCAATGATGTTTTTTTACTTGCTTCGTAGCCATGAGTTTGGGGCAAATCATTCAGAATTGTTCTTTAGCAACCAGTGTCCAAAATCCGAATCAGTGGGGGACCACACAGTCCAAACAGTTCGATGCTGATGCGACGCTACAGCCGCCTTCTTGCCTTTGCACTCCTTTTTGTGGCGCTCTTCGCTTTTGCTTCGATATTCTTTTTGGCATTCAGCGCACGTTTTTTTACCTCGATACTGCTGTAACGATCGGTAGAAGATTGAAGAGGAGAGATTGCGCAGATGAACTCAAAATCTGATAGAAGCCACAGACCCGAATGCATTTTCTAAAAGCTCACGTAGAAGAAGGGTTCCTACAGAACAATGAAAAGGGAACAGGAGATGCTCGATCGCATTAAAAACCACTCTTGCTTGACACTCTTCTCGGACAATCGTGTGGGACACTCTTGCGTGACACTCTTGTGGCATACTCTTGCGGGGCAATCATGTGGGACACTTTTATGGGACACTCTTGTGAGACACTCTTGCCTGACACTCTTGCTCGACACTCTTGTGGCACACTCTGGTAAAACACTCTCTCTCTCTCTCTCAATACTCTGAAACACTCTTGTAAGACACTCTTGTTGGACACTCTTGATTGACACATCTGAAACACCTCGCAAAACTACTTTGTACTACAAAGCGTCCACACAGTACCTCACAGTACTACTTTATACTGCAAATCTTGCACAGAGTACCACCCAGTACTACTTTGTACTAAGAATCTTGCACAAGCCACTTCCCAGTACAACTTTGTATTACGAAGCTTGCACAAGGCACCTCCCACAGTTACTTCGCACTCCAGACTCCACACTCCACACCTAACTCTCCACACATGACACTCCACACTCCACACTTCAACTTCACACTCTCCACTCCGCACTTCACACTCCACACTTCGTACGCCACACTTCACACTTTTCACTTCACACTCCAGACACCCCACACACTCCAAATTCCACACTCCAAACTTCGCACTTCACACTGCACACTCTCCACTCCACACTTCCCACTTCACACTCCACACTTCATACTGCACACTCCACACTCCACACTCCACAGTTCAGACTGCACACTCCACACTTCACACTTCACACTCCACACTGCACACTTCACTCTTCATACTCCACACTTAGCACTGCACACCTCACACTTCACACTTCACACTCCACACTTCGCACCTCACACTTCACACTCCACACTTCCCACTTCAAACTCCACACTGCACACTTCACACTGCACACTCCACACTTCACACTTCCCGCATCACACTCCACACTTCACACTTCACACTCTCCACTCCATACTTCACACTTCACTTCACACTCTCCACTCCACACTTCACACTGCACACTCCACACGTCACACTTCACACTTCACACTCAACAAAAAAAACTTCACACTCCACACTCCACACTTCACACTGCACACTCCACACTTCACACTTCACACTCCACACTGCACACTTCACACCTCATACTCCACACTTCGAATTGCACACTTCACACTTCACACTCCACACTTCGCACCTCACACTTCACACTCCACACATCACACTTCAAACTCCACACTGCACACTTCACACTGCACACTCCACACTTCACACTTCCCGCATCACACTCCACACTTCACACTTCACACTCTCTTCTCCACACTTCACACTTCACACTCTCCACTCCACACTCCACGCTCCACACTTCACACTTCACACTCCTCATTCTCCACTCCACGCTTCACTTTTCACACTTCACACTTCACACTTCACACTCCACACTTCGCACTTCACACTCCACACCCCACACCCTGCGCATCACACTTCACACTCACTACTCCCCACTCCACACTTCACACTCCACACTTCACATTCCACGCTCCACACTCCACACTTCACACTGCACACTCCACACTCCACACTTCACAGTTCACACTTCACGCTTCACACTTCACTTCACACTTCACACTCCAAACTCCAAACGTCACACTGCACACCTAACACTGCACACTTCACACTCCACACTTCCCACATCACACTCCACACTTCACGCTTCACACTCCACACTTTCCACTTCCCACTTCCCACTTCACACTACACACTTCACACTGCACACTTCTCACTCCACACTACACTTCACACTTCACACTCTCCACTCCACACTCCACACTCCACACTCCACACTTCACACTTCACACTTCACACTTCACTTCAAACTCCACACTTCACACTGCACACCTGGCACTTCACACTTCACACTTGTACTGCAAAGCTTGGGCCAAATACACTCCAGTATGGCTTTGTACTCCCCCGTTTTACTGTGTACTACCAACCTTGCACAAAGCACCTCCCAGTACTACTTTGCACTAAAAAGCTTGCACAAGGCACTTCCCAGTACTACTTTGCACTACAAAGCTTGCACAAAGTACTGCTTTGTAGTGAAATGCTTGCAAGGTTTGCACAAGGCACTTCCTGGCACTAACCTGTACTACAAAGCTTGCGCGAAATACCTTTCAGGACTACTTTGTACTACAAAGCTTGCACAAGGAACTTCCCAGTACTACTTTGCACTACGACGCTTGCACAAAATACATCCCAGTACTACACTGCCCTTCACACTTCACACCTCACACTTCACACCCCGCACTCCACACTTCAGACTTCACACGCCACTTCAAACTTCAAACTCCACACTTCACGCTTCATACTGCACACCGCACACCTGACACTACACACTACAGACTTCACTTCACGCTCCACACTTCACACTTCACACTTCACACTCCACGCGCCACACTTCGCTCTGAACTCTCCACACATCACACATCACACTCCGCACTTCCCACTCCACACTTCGCACTCCAGATTCAACACTCCACACTTCACACTCAACACTGCACACTTCAAACTCAAAACTGCACACTTCACACTGCACACTCCACACTTCACACTTCCCACATCACACTCCACACTTCACACTTCACACTCTCCACTCCACACTTCACACTCCACGCTCCACACTTCACACTCCACACTTCACGTTTCACACTTCACATTCCCCACTCCACACTTCACACTTCACACTCCACACTCTCCACTCCACGCTTCATTTTTCACACTTCACACTTCACACTCCACACTTTACACTCAACACTTCACACTTCACGCTCACACTTTCCACTCCACACCCTCCACACACTCCACGCACTCCACACACTCCACACACTTCAGACTTCACACTCCACACTTCGCACTCCCCTTCACACTTCACATTTCACACTCGCCACTCCACACTCCACACTCAATACTCCACACTTTCCACATCACACTCCACACTTCACACTACACACTCCACACCCCACACTCTGCGCATCACACTTCACACTTCTCACTCCACACTTCACACTCCACACTTCACATTCCACACTTCACACTGCACACTTCACACTGCACACTCCACGATCCACACTTCACACTTCACATTTCACGCTTCACACTTCACTTCACACTTCACACTCCAAACTTCACACTTCACACTTCACTTCAAACTCCACACTCCACACCGCCCACAGCACACCTGGCACTTCACACTTCACACTTGTACTGCAAAGCTTGGGCCATATACACTCCAGTATGGCTTTGTACTGCAAAGCTTGCACAAAGTACTTCCCAGTACTACTTTGCACGACAAAGCTTGCACAAGGAACTTCCCAGTACTACTTTGTACTGCAAAGCTTGCACAAAGTACTCCCCCGTTTTTCTGTGTACTACAAAGCTTGCGCAAGGCACTTCCCAGTACTACTTTGTACTACAAAGCTTGCACAAGGCACTTCCCAGTACTACTTTGCACTACAAAGCTTGACAAAGCACTTCCCAGTACTACTACAAAGCTTGCACAAAGTACTACTTTGTAGTGAAATGCTTGCACAAGGCACTTCCTGGCACTACTTTGTACTACAAAGCTTGCACAAAATACTTTCAGGACTACTTTGTACTACAAAGCTTGCACAAGGCAATTCCCAGTACTACTTTGTACTACAAAGCTTGCACAAAATACTTTCAGGACTACTTTGTACTACAAAGCTTGCACAAGGCAATTCCCAGTACTACTTTGTACTGCAATGCTTGCACAAAGTACTCCCCGGTATTACTGTGCACCACAAAGCTTGACAAGGCACTTCCCAGTACTACTTTGTACTACAAAGCTTGCACAAAATACTACTTTGTAGTGAAATGCTTGCACAAGGCACTTCCTAGTACTACTTTGTACTACAAAGCTTGCACGAAATACCTTTCAGCACTACTTTGTACTACAAAGCTTGCACAAGGAACTTCCCAGTACTACTTTGTACTGCAATGCTTGCACAAAGTACTCCCCCGTATTACTGTGTACTACAAAGCTTGACAAGGCAGTTCCCAGTACTACTTTGTACTGTAAAGCTTGCACAAGGCACTTCCTAGTACTACTTTGTACTACAAAGCTTGCACAAAGTACTTCCCAGTACTTCACTGCACTTCACACTTCACACTTCACACTTCACAGCCCGCACTCCACACTTCACACTCTCCACTCCGCACTTCACACTTCACACTTCTCTTCAAACTTTAAACTCCACACTTCACACTTCACACCGGACACTGCACACTACACACTTCACACTTCACTTCACTTCACGCTCCACACTTCACGCTTCACACTCCACACTCCACACTTCACACTGCACACTCCACACTTCCAACTTCCCACATCACACTCCACACTCCACACTTCACACTTCAGACACCACTCTTCACACTCCACACGTCACACTCCACAATGCACACTTTCACAGGTCACATTACATCACCTTTTCTCACTTTCCCCATAGACAGGGGCGACCACGCCATCAGAGACCAACAAACCAACTTTGTGCTTGACTGCCACCAAGTCCCACGCCTGCCACACGAAATGCATCATTTTTTCTCGCTCTCCCCATAGACAGCGGCGACGACGCCATTAGAGACCCCCAAAACGACTTTCGCTTGAGTGCCACAAAGTCCCATGCCTGCCACGCGAAATGCACTTTCACACGTCACAAGACATCACCTTTTCTCACTTTCCCCATAGACAGCGCGGCATCGCGATTGGAGAACCGCGCCACGAAAACGATCCGCAAACAGTCCACCATCTCCCAGGCCCCAAAAAAGAACACAAGAACCCTTCGCTACGCATTCGGGAAAAGTGACGTTGAAAATGAACTTCCGGACAACTCTCACCACGTTGCCCCATTCAATTGTTGAACAAATCTGGACATACCCGGAGTCCGACCCTGGCGCCTTTGCACTTGTTTTTCTTGTGCTTTTCAAGGTACCGGTGACTGGCCATCAGCGAATCCAACATCTCACTGTCCATACCCGATTTTGGGCGTCATTTTTTACACTAAATACCAAATCTCGTATCAGCGACCATTTGTGATAGTAGAAATTAATGCACCATAAGTCACAGCCACTTATGATTAGTCAACTATGCAGTGTCTTGGATGGACCCCTACGAGGAAACAATACTTCTGAACTTCTTTCTCTCAACAGGTGTGAAGAAAAGATGCATGTTTGACTGGCTTGGGATTTCAGCAGAAAACTCATTTCTGACAAAAGTAATGTATATATATATACTATATATATGTATGTATCGTGTATATATATATATATGTGTCAAACCCTAATCTGTTGCAGTTGGAAAGCGCGGCAGTTTTTCATGTGGAACATTTCCAGCCATTCCATCCCATGCCTTTGTCCGCAGAAAGGGCACTTTTCCTTGTCTGGTCTCGATCTGGGAGGTGCCGCATTTTCCTGCCCGTCGAGCAATGAGGATATGGATGCGACATGTTTCCAACAATTGGATGACGATTTGGGTTTCCAAAAGTGACCGAAGTCGTGGGTGTATCATGTCAATTTTCATTCTTTGAACACCGAATCTACAGACATCAAGTGCAAAAAGTTGTTCGCGTCCCATGAAGGCACCGACAGTCATGTTCTTCCATCAAACATCCGAATTGACAAAGTCTGATGAGTACTGTCATGCTCCAAGTTCCAGTGCGCAGCCCGTCGACCCCAGTCCATGCCTCCTTTTTCACCGGTGGAGGCCAGCTCTTTGGGGGTGGTTTTTCTTGCTCCCTTTTTGCGCCTTTTCCACGTCCACGGCCTTTGCCACGGCCGTTCCCACCGCCTTTTCCAAGCAATTTTCCCAGGCTTTTTCCACGTCCTTTGGCCGTTCCCCTTGCAGGTTCTGCCGGTTCTGCAGGCCTCCAGTTCAGGAGGCACAGCGGGCAGCGGGGCTATGTTCGTGCTAGTTGTGCAGGGAAATCTTGCAAGTTGGAAACAGCCCCCCAGTGAGAGGGCCATTTATTCAAACGTCTCCATGAGTCACAGGCTGCGGCTTCACCTGCTAAATGAAGGGGTGCCACACATATCCTAGGTTCGGCTGATTTATTGCGTTGTGGTAAAGCAATTGGGGCCGATATTGCTAAGGCGATTTCATGAGAGGTTGGGTTTTACCGTGTGTTCCCTCCATGGCAGAAACAATGCCACAACCACCCCATAGTTCAGGCCTTCCCTGGGCCGAAGCACTCTTGCTTCGCACTGGGCGGTGCAACTGATAGCAATTTTTGTTGAGAAATCATGAAACTGCTACGGTATGATCTGCTATCGCTATCTCTCTCGATTTTTCTGCAAAAGAAGGGGCAACTCTTTGCTACGAATGGGATCCAACCTCTGTTGCGGCTGGGGCACACAATGTTTCAGCTCTTAGCTTGGCAAGGTCTAAGACCTTGGTCAGTCACCACTCCTCCACCGCTGACGCTAGTGGCACAGTGAGTTGAGATCAGATGAGATCAGCACAAACGTCCAGTGCCAGCTTCAAAACAATGTTTGCGCAAGTAGTGGACATGCCCGTTTCAGTGTGAAGATATGAGTGGAATACTATTGCCTTCAAGCATGTAGGTGTGGGCTATGGCAGCAAAAAAATACAATTCCACCACCTCATGCCTTTTGGGCGATTCACCAGAAAGTGGAATATTCTTGGCGTTTCTTCGCGAAATGCTACCTTCCAACTTTGGGCTAGTTGCACAAACGACAGACTAGTAAACTTAGATAGATCAAGAACTAGCGGCCGAAGTTTTCCATCAGCTGTTCACTTCCCCTTGAATAACATGCATAAGTTTCTTCCAAAAGGATCAATTCCAAATCAAGACCGGGTACTCCCAAACAGCCCAAAGTGCGACAGTCACATGCTTTAGGAAAAGGATTGTCGGGTCATTTGATGGAACACTGCTGAGGATCAAAATCCCAAGGCCCTGGCATTCACATCAAAATACCTAGACTGGATAAAACTGTTACCCTCCCAGCCACTTTTCACATGGAGACCTCAAGTTAGAAATCCTCAAGGCTTGGGTTTCAGCCACCACAGCCAAGGCACTGCTTTCGGAGGCGCTTTCCCGTCAAATTCCTTCCTTCTCGTCTTCTCAAATGCTATCAGGGAAATAATCGCCACAACTCAGCGGATCAGCAGTTTGAACCAGCACATGAGCTCTCCAAATCAACTGGGTTATCAGCATATTGCCTCTGACCTTTACTTGATGGATTTTTTTGTGTTTTTGGTATACCCACTTGGCAGACTCAAACAGTTATGGTTGGCTAGTGTTGAGAATGCTATGCACATATCGTAGCACATCCCCAGTAAATCCCCACCATAAAACCACCAAACCCATTACATCCCATTAAATGATATTAAATGCCTGTCCTGGATGATTCTTCCAGGGGATTGGATGGTCCGCTCTTTGCAGCTCTGCGGCGGCGTGCGTTCTGCAACGTTCCATGTGTGTTCGCCGAGACCTGGAGCGCTGGAGCACATGCTCGGCGGCTCGGCTGCTCAGTGCAGCGCATACGGAAATAGAAACGGAAAAAAAAGGAGCCCCAAATTGGATATATAGTCGAATACAACATATTATATGTATGTATTATGTATATATATATATGTGTAAATATTTATATAGATACATGCTGTATTATCATTTTTATGTGTGTATTTAAATATGTATATATATAATCATATACATGTGTATCTATATATACACCAGTAGTACGGCACAAGG